ATTACTCATATATCCATTCATACATAGACGTATCCACGCATAAAATATGGCTGTATCAATGATACAGCCAACCAGGGTTTTTCTTTAGCTTCATGACTGGTACGGGTACTACATATACGCACAGACTTAGTAGGTGTCGTACACGTAATATATACATTCTCTTTGGTTTGCTTTTTGACTTCTTTTTTCTGATTATGAAAAAACGTAGCTCAGCAGGCCTATTCGCTAATGAGGTAGTATATAAAAAAAAACATTACTTTCCGAAATCATACTAGATGTCGCTACGATACGTTCTTGATTACTCCATGACAACCTAATAGTTTTCAAAACTCAATAAACCTCCGAGTAAAGCTGGAACCGCGAATAGGAATAAGAGCTAAAAAGAAAGTGAGGACTATGGCATCCTTATTGGTAAATTTTATGACCAAAGGAGAATCGTGTAAACGCCTTATGGCGGACAAAGCCCTCATGAACCACTTTGGATCCATAGTCCTGACCATCCAAATCGTAGGAGGTTACGCTCCTCGGAGATAACAACCAACTTCCGTACATAGATAGAGACAATTTATTCCCCCTCCTTTATAACCGCCCCAACAAAATAACCAGCATCACAAAGGAGCTGCTGTGCACCTATAGGAATCCCTAGGACGAACCGTATTCCGTTATTGAAATCTACAGCGGCATATACTCGGCCAATATTCGAATGCGATCCCTTGAGCTGAAAAGGTTCACAGGTGCGATGATCCCTAAGTCAGAGCGAACCCTATATCTCGTTCACACCCAGGCTGAAAAGAATCTTCTAATCAGCCAAGGATACGGAAAAGACGAGGGATCGCGCACCCTAACCATACATGAAGCACAGGGGCAAACATTCGAGACAGTAATAATAGTGCGAACAGTCTCTAAAAAATGCCACTTGCTTCAAAGTGTCCCTCATGCCGTAGTAGCGATCTCAAGGCACACAAAGACCTGCATCTATTACACCGATAACACCACTGATGATGCCACGGCTCGTCTAATTACAAAGACAAAAAATGCTACAGAGTACTGTATCGGTTAAGCCAATTAAATAGACTATATCAGATATGATAACTTATTTAATTACGTACAAGAGGGTAGGTCCCCAAAATAGTTTTATAAAAATTAAATTTAAAGAAATATTGAAAATTTAGGGTGTGGGTCCGTGACATTAAGCAACCGTCTCGTAGCAGATTCTTGGTCACCACTGTCCTGGCAATCCAGATAATATCGCACGTTGCAGATCTCCGGTCACTGGTCCCAGTAATACAGACACGACTGGTGCAGAAGTAAAGGTTTCCCGAATAACGTGTGTAGCACAATCCAGACCTTTCTTTACCCTGCCAGAGGATAGGTCCCCAATATGGGGAATAAACACATAAACTATATTTGTAGATGACTAAATCAAAAATTCACAATCAAGGAGACAGTAATTAGTGAGAAATAATGTAAGTGACGACAATGTGTCCTGTCGCTGCGGTCGTATCTCAATTGTGCCACCCGCATTTTGTTGGAGAACCGGTTTCCCGCTTCGGTCGGCAATGCGCAAGCGCATGAACAATAGACTTACTGAGTATACAACAGTTTTGCCCAGACTGTGCCTATTGAATTTATTATTTTTCTTTATAATATTTTGCTTGTTTTAATTTTAGTTTTAAGTTGTAATTATGTTATTGTATGCAGATTCAATCAATTTTGAGAGTATTGTAAATATATATTTTTATATTTTGATTATTTTTAAATTGTTTTACAATATTATTCTTTTTTTTTAATTCTTGGATTAAGATAGACAGATAGTAAAATCGTCACAGTACATTAGGGAGTGCTTTCGTTTTTTTTTAATACTTCCTCATTGACAACCCAAAGTCGTAATCACCTTAAAAAGTGAGCAATTCTAATGTGTCATAATCACTTTTTCGTAAATGTCAGTATTACCGACTATGAGGAAGTATTTAAAAAATAAAAATTAGTTTTTGAAATCATACTAGATGTCACTCGCGATGTTTGGATTTTGTTTATGATATTCATTCAGATTTTGTTTCTGATGTAATAAAAGTTAATTGAGTATCGAAAATTAATAAATATAACATCGTTTTGTGTTTCTTATAATATCTAACTTTCAAATTAATTTTAATTTATTTTAATCGTAAGTTTAAGATGTTTATTATGTTACGTGTAAAGGAATGATGTTTGGTTGATACGTCAACATTAGTGATGAGCCAACTTATTGGTTGCTCGTAACTTTCATCCGAATTCAGGTTTGGAATGAAGAACGAAATTAATTTAAGGTAAAAAGCGGAGCGCAGAATTCAGCTTGTATTTGTATATGTCATTATGCATCCACAAAACCAATGCTATTAATATAAACATCAAAATCAATTCAGTCTAGGCTGTTACATAGTACTTGTGAAAGTCGAAAATTTGCCAATGGTTCGCAAAACTAAGGCGGGAGATCTTGTACTGACAAGAATCGGCAAGAAACTCAGCAAGGGCTATTTTTTAATTTCAATAATACAACCCGACTATACTATATTTGAGGGAACGTAACCACCTAACGCACACGACACTACCGCAGAGATTTTAAGAGAGCATGACTACTCTAGGTACTTAATAAATAATATATTTCAATAAAACTGATTTCTAGATTAGGTTGTGTAGGATTTCAATCTATTATTAACAATATTATTGTAAGAACCAAAAAGCACATACCCACCGTACGAATTAACTTAACACATGGCTCGACGTCCGCCGTTGACATGTAAGATCAGTAGTAATAGCAATAATAACTGTACATGTCTTTGTGATTTTGAAATTTAAAGTTATAACCTATAAATTTCAAAATCACAAAGCTCGTACAGTTCGCTTTGAACGTTTCTTGTTGTTTGCTGAATGTTTATTAACATTATTTAATTATGAATAAAAGATTTAATAACTTATCACAGTTTTTTAAAGTCTTAATTTCGAAAGCACAAGTTATTTGCACGTTACACTTTGCACAAACGTTATTTTAGCCAGAAGTCGTGTTATTTTGTACGAATACCTAGTATATTTGATACATATCGGGTAAGTATATAGATATTAAACGGATTTTTATTATAAATATCGTTTTAATAACTTTCGTTGGTGATTAATAAACCCTATTCATTCATTCACTATATATAATATAAAAATATTATTGAGACTTGACGTAGTTTTGTTGTTGTAAGTTCAACAAACAACAAATAGCAATATAACTAACTTACATAGTTGTTATTGTTTTCAGAACTTTTGTTAAAAATTATAATGAAAAATTACAAGACCTACTATGGCATAAGTATTTTATTTTAAAAAATAATTGGCGGTAATATTATTGTATACTATAGCTAAATGCCACTTTTAATTATATCATAGCATTTATTCAATTGATTTCCATAAATTTAAAAAAAAACCTCTGCGCTCACTTCCATTGTGTTATAAACATTGTTTTCCATTGTGTTATAATTATTACATAAATACGGCTTTGACGTGGTTTTCAGAAAAGTATTTTAGTGTTACCTATTATAGAAAAATATCAATATCATTAAAAAGCATGAAATAAAAACTTAAAAAAATAGAACCGACTTCAAACTCTAAAAAGGTGAAAAAAAAAATCTCAAAAGCGACTTCTTCAAGAATATGCTATTGAAGTCGGGCGGTTATAAATTAATTAATAACCTACAGTAAATCTCCATCCGACCTTAATAACATTTCCATCCGACTTTAAGTACTATTTTAATTTGCCTTAACATTTAGTCTTCATGGTGTTAATGTATTTTAGTCGCTTTGAACAACTGAACAACTCTAGTCTCAACCGGATCCCACTAAAAAGTTCCCTAGGCACCACGCGGGCGAAGCCGCTGGTAGAATGCTAGTACTGTTTAATGAAAATTGTAAAGATTGTATTTCCTCCAGTCGATTATAAGAACTGAAATTAATGACCGAATAAAACGCGATATATTAGCTATTATGTATTGTAATTAAAGTTATTGACGAAAGAGGGCTATTAATTATAAAAACTTTAATTAAATCGACCTATTCGTTGACAATCTATGATACTGTAGTACAAATAAATAAAAAAAAAACATTGTCACTGAAGAGCAACTTTTTTGCATCTTTCCAGAACCTGGGACAATATCCCGCAGCAAGACTTTGAAAAATCGTTGCAGGACCGTTGTTAACATCATGGGTGGTTTTACTGACTATTGATTTTCGCAAAATTGCAAATAATGGAATAATTTCGCTATATTTTTCACATTTTCTTGAAAAACACATTTACCATTATTCTACTTTTCGTCTTTACTTAAATAATTTATTTTTAGGTAAAAAAAAATGTGTTTTATTCTATAATCTACGTTAATAAATGAGCTTTATAAAAATATATATATATAAACATGTTGTATGTTATTCAGAAATAAAACTGAGAAAATTAAGAATAATTAAAATATTAAAATAATAATTAAAAAAAATGATATTGAAAGAGATAAAATGCCTCTACAAAATATCTCAGCATTGTTTTTTTGGAAAAAAAGCAATATTTATAATATATAATTTCTGTAATAGCAACATTAACCATAACTGCTAGTCCATATTCTGAAAATCGCAAAAATTAAGTTAAATGAATAGTGCTGTCTCTACCATACTAATAGTGTTAAAGAGAGCATGCAAACATTGTGCACTATTCAATCAGACAGATCAGAGACATAACAGAATACAGATCTGTCTGACTTTTAGCCTGTCACGGAAGGGTTTTGTGCAAAAGAAAATTTCTGTAATCTAATTCAATTATTAGCCTTTTAATTAAAATGTTTTCATATTATCTTCATTTACACCCTATGTTTTATTGTTCTATTAAAATTATTACATTTTGGTCAGCCATTCTTTAAGATATGCCTTTTATTTACTAGTAGACTGTGAATCAGTAAACTAAAGTTTGTATTTGCGGTTTATGCTATTTGTGTGGCACTATGGATAAAGGAGTAACGTGTGATCACTTAACCAAACTCGCGGATGTCCTTGGAAAGGAGTTGTGGCAGTCAAAAGATGTGAGTTTTATTTAATATCCTATTCATACATAACCTAAAAAGCAATGTCAGTATGACTTGTTAATTAACAATTTCTCAGTCCAGTTATCATTGTGCAACGACTGACCATATGCATATATATATATATATATATATATATATAGTCTGTTCGTATATATACTTCAATTATATCTTTGTGTTAAATTCTTTGTATACAAAGGATTTTTTAATTCCTTATGATTACTTTATTATATTTTTATCAAATTGACATTCAACTGGCTATAATATAAACAGTTTAAAAAATTTGTTTGTAGTTAAATCATTTAATCTAGTGTTATGATCAAAATCTTATATTACCAAATAAGATAAATTTTATGTAAAATAATCTTGTCTCATGAGCTGCTGAACTGATTTAATCAATTTTTTATATATATATATGTATCTGTTATTTAGTTTAACTTTAATGATAGGATCTGGCTGGGCTAGCTAGTATTTCTTAAATATAATCACACATAGAAAATTAATTATCTAAATTGAATTTGTATAAAAAACATCTTCAACTGGTCAAAACCAAAGCTAGGTCAATGAAAACCCTCCAGGGTAGGGTGTGGAAGCATTGTCAAGCCATTTTTTCTGAAAATGAGGGTGCATCAGAGTCAGTTTAGTGGATATGCCACCTGCATTTTTCCTACATCATAAAAAAGATCAATAATACCTATTTTCAGATAGTTGCGATTTCCACAATAATGCTATAAAATAATAAATATATATACATTCTATTATCAATGTTAGAGTTGGTGCAAGTCTGACAGAAAATTATTGAGCGTTTTATATAAGTATAGTATGCAATATATTTGTCACTAGGGGCGTAGACAACTTTTGTAATTATATTTGTTTTATAGATAAAATATGCCTAAAAAATTCATTTAAATAATAAGTTTAAATTTAAAAATAAATTTAATTTTTAAAATTTCCCCTAAAACACCAATTATGTCATGGTGTCGCAATGTTCTCATGGCACTCTGAAACAAATACTGTTCTATGTATGCATAAGGTTGAATTCTAATATGAATAAGAAAGATGTGATGTCTTGTGCTGTTTGTAGTCATGTAACAACAATCATAAAATATTTGTTTTTTCATAATTAGTTTAAGCAATGTTATAAATATAATAAGCATAAAATGTATTTATTTTCGTTTACTGTCTACACATGTATTTTAACTTTCCGCTTACTTCAAAGTGCTTATTTTCTTGATATCAGGTAAGTAGTTTATTAAATCAAATAACAGTAATTGTAGTTACTTTTTGGAATAGTGAAGGGTGCATAAAGGTAGTGCATAACCTAGTAACCTTACTAGGTTAAGTTACTTGTCAGAGCAGATGTGACGAAAATGTACATGTATAGGGAATTTGTTGTTACAAAGAGTTAACATCAATGTATGATGTCGCAAAATAAATAACACATTTCAATTTCAATTTAGATGATGTTTAAGGCTTTTTATTTCACCAATTTCCTAAACTACATCATTATTAAAAAAATCAATTATACTTTAAAAGAATATTTGTTGATAATCAATTTGGGTAATTGATTAATAATCAATCACTCAAAATCCATATTGATTTAAAATATCATATCAGTCTGTTGTGTATTTTGTTACTTATCAGCAATTATTATTGTTACAAAATTTTAGTTTTTCAGTGCCAGGTATCTTTTACAGTTATACATATAATGATGTAAATTATCATATGAATACAATTTTTTAAATGTGCATATTCCCTATAGTATACTTACCGATTGTTTGTGTTATTGAAATTGCTTTGATATTTCATTACATTGCACTATTAATCACAGTGGTGAAAGAAGTAACTTTTTAAGTGATGATAACTTCTGTTCTGGATGTCATATGGCAATTTATGAGAGAGTTTACAATAATTATAGGTTTTGTATCAGATTATGTAAAGCACACGTTCACAATTTTAAATTTATTTCAGACATTAACATGTTACGATTGCGGTTGCCCCGGGCCAAACCTGTGGATATGTTTGCAGCCGGAGTGCCACCATATTGGTTGTTCCGAAGTAAAAAATGACCATAGCACTATACATCAGAAGGTATGTTGAATTTCATCAAAGAAAATATTAAACCAAGCACTTTGGTTAGGGTTTGAATGTTCTTGCTACAACCTGTTAAAAAGTGTGGTAGTAACCCTCTTGCCATTGATACTACTATATATAAAACCTTGGTGCTGAAATACAAATCAAGGAACTGAGACTACTTAGGTACTACTTAAATCTTAGGCATTTCATTTCATTCATTGGGGTATAGGAAGTGTTTCAACACAATGTATATTGTTAAAAATGAAATATTTCAATTTGGTCAGATAATGATTTAAACTTGCTAATAAAGTTAGTTCTCGTTGTATATGGTAGTAGTAGCAAGACTAAATGTGTGCGTTCAAAACATATGGTTGAATTGATGCACTTGTAGCTTCAGCTCGGCCTTCATATCTAGATCACGTAGAAAACAAGTATCAGATACTTCCGGATGACGCACGTACAGTAAATAATTTAGTATAAAAGATTTAATTTATAGATGTAAATGTATTGAACTTAAAATACAGTTTTAGCCAGTTCAATGTCAGAAAAGTGATGTAAGTTTAGTTGTGTGGTCTCAAGCTAGGGGCTTGCCCTCTAGCGACGCACTCGAAGTTAACATGGGCACCTCTGGTCTTGTCATTTACTGATCTACTTATAATGTACTAGCTGTTTTCCCACGACTTTGCCCTCGTAAATTAAAGCCAATATCATCCGCGTATAACGTCTCGTAGGAGAAAGAATTATTAAAGTCTATCGAATTATTATACTGTTTTCTATTTAGAATATTGTACAGGCAAAAATCGTTTTCCGATCAAATTGTGGTTTCATAGTACTTCACGTGACCTCGTGAGAGTTATTTCCGTTCGCAATACATATTATGGGTAATAAAATGAAATAACGAAAATTCCATTAGTTAGGAATACGTAATACCTATTTTCCGTTCATTAATTTTAAATTGTCTAATGCAAATTATGTTAATGATACACACAGTAATGTTTCGAGTATATCAGACGACACAATGTCATACCTTCAGCGATTTTGCGCATAATATTATATGTGTTAACATTTAAATAGATTGAAGTTTATTGTGCTGCGATATTTGAAAAGCTTAATCGAATCAGAAACATTGGCAGATCCCTATCTGAGTAAATGAATCCCTTGTGCTATGGAAATATATAATAAAGTATACCTATAAATATGTAAGCATTTTCTTACACGAATTAATATTTTCTTGCCAAAATAGTTTGCACCGTTTCTAAAATGAATCAATAATATATATATATATATATAAAATTTATAACGATATAAGATAAAATATGCGAGTCACTAAATTAGCACTAATTTAAGTCTAACACCGGCGATTTTACCAAAAATCGTTTAAGATTTCAAGTAGACAAGTTATTAATTTAACAAGTTAAATAGGTCTATAATCATGTTCCACATTGGGACAGTTTTATTTGGTCTTAATTTTATATTTACCCCAAAGGTAAACCCCCAGGTTAAGAACCACTAAAATAGCCCAATAACTTGTCCCTACCGATTCTACGGTAGATAAATCAATATATAAATAAAATAATATTGTAAAAAAAAACACCTATAATAATAAGTGGTAAATCGAACTCCAAAACAAGTCACTTACGTCAATGTATTTGAAAGGAGGTTTTATTTATCAATATAAATAAAAGCGCAAACGTTTTTTTTTAAACAATAAACATATCATATCAGGCGCGTAACTCTTTATACGGTCAATACATAAGACAAAAGACAATTTATTAGGCAGTCTTTAACTTTTAAATTATATATTAATGTTCTGTCAAAACAGTTTTTGAAATGAACATACCCCTCGGTACACCGCCATTGCTCAGGCAGGTCCAGGTGACTGGAAGAGGCCTGATTTAAGGCATAAGGTACAATTCTCCTGCCTTATCAAAAAGGTTCGAAGATAATGTCAGGGTGATTCATTATAATTTATTTCCGTTAGTACACTAAAGTACCGTGCGAACAGAAATGAATTGGGTACACGAAAATCGTTCTAATCCCGCAATCCTCTACATGTCTCTCTGTAGTCGTTATACTTTAAATAATTATACATAAGTCATAAATGAATTTCCGGTAAGTAGTTTTTAAGTAATCTCGTCCAAACAGACGCGATGGAAGAATTTTTGTCACATAATATATAAAGGGAAAATTTTAACAGCACACCACATTTTCTTCCAGAATTTTCCAACTCACAGCGTGCATATGAACGTGTCAACGGAACGGATATGGTGCTACATTTGCCAGAAGGAGGTCCACATACGAGCTGCGTTGGCACAAGCTGCGGTAACGAACGATCATATGTTTATTTTATGCTACTATAGTCCAAGAGCTGGTGGACATTTTTCAGGAAATGTTTCTATTTATTTATCAAGGTAACACAACAGACGTTAACGTACTAAATTAATATCCTAGAGGTGTTTACACAATTAATTATAAAAAGTTTGAGGCACTATATTTTAAATCCAACAAACATAGCTTAGATTAAGTAGTTTTTATCATATTATGGTTTGGTGCAGACTGGTTGGTGTAAAAGACTGCAGATGCGGTCGGGACTAACAGTTTAGCGTGCCTTCCGAAGAACGGAAGAGCGCGAGATAATAATATTTTGATTACCCATCCTATGACCGGTCCTTTTTCAAGTTGCTTAACTTCCTCATCATATACTTGGCGTGTTAACTGCGGCATCGAACTATTCAAGATAGTATTATAGATGTAAAATGCACAAAAGAAAATTAGATATAAAAATATTAATTTATAGGAAACTGAAATAAGCCAAGCGAATTGGTAAGCAGGTCGCGAATTTGCTGGACTTATTGAAAGAAATTTTCCCTTACTGAGAAAAATTTAAGGAAAGATTTTCAGTATTCCATACATAGCTGTTTTCCCGCGGCTTCGCCCGCATAAAATATATATCCTATACTACCTATATCACTCGCGTCTGCTGTAGCTTCACTTAAACCTTGAAATAAACCATGCAAGAAACCATGCTGGGTGAAATATAATTGAATGAATGAATGAACACTTCATTGTACGTCGAATTGGGTCAATTTCCTCAAATAATTGTCGATGTTTTTTATAGGCGAGTCCAGACACGACGTCGATGGAAGGCCCAACGGTGGGCGCCCACTTTGGTTCAGCGGCGCTCGGCTTCAACTCCGACGACGATGTGGACCCGGACGACGTGGACTACGATGATGAAACACGCCCAAGAGGTCAGTCAGTTCAACAATTGGATCACTTTCATTTTCTTATCGCACGCGTGACGCAATGTTATCAATGCACAATTGTTTTTAAAACATGTGCGTGTGTATGCATCGAAAATAATATTTACAAGAAATTATCAGATGCGTTCTTAAATAGTGAATTTACTTATTATAAAGATAAAACAACAAATTATAAACACGAAGTTATTATTTATTGTTTTGTCTTTATAGTAATTAAATTCTCTATTTAAGTTTGTTCGCTTGTAGGGGGTAATCTACCGGATCAGTATTACCGAAGATCAATCAATTATTGCATTAAATATGGTGCGGGTACAACAGATGTTTTAAAATAATATGACAGTATGTAATAGTTTTAGTATGTAAAATATTATTAGTTATAATTCATAATTAATTTACATTATAAACCATTAATGCATTAACCTTATTATTTTATTCACACATCATCATATATCGCTATAATTTACGCGAGTGAAGTCGCGGAAAACAGTTAGTATATTACTAAAACTGCAACGACAAGCAACTCGCACACTCAGTATTGCTAGATATAATTGCACCACCCACAGATAAATGCACGTGCACAAACGACAATAAAACTCCGTTGGAATGTATATAAAGGAACATTGAAAAAATACTTAGAAAGTATCTGATGTGTTTTTCTTGAATGACTTTTACTATAGAAAAAAGTTCTGATCACAGTTCTAACCTAACCTAACCAAAACATTGTTCACTGTGTGACTGAAGGTATACTTTATAATGTAGAACACAGTGAACAATGTTTTGGTTAGGTTAGGTTAGGTTTCCGGGCCCTCCTTGCTGGATACCGGACTCATCTATTTTCATCCAGGTAGGGCTTCCACATTAACCTGCCCTTTTCAGGGCGGGGTGGAAGAGGAGCCCTGATTTATGGCTTAAGGTGCATTTCCCCTGCGTTAGCAAAAAAAAAGGTTAGGTTAGGTTAGAACTGTGATCAGAAATTATCAAATGTCTCCTCAGTGCCCTGTTACTTACTCCAAGCTTTTCACACCTCCATGGAATATTCTTATCGTCATCAGTCTTTTAATGTCTCCATAGCTGGGATTGAGGCCTCCCTCCCCTATAGCGGAAAAAAATACCCGATTTTAGGATATTTTTTAAGATTTATCCCAAAAACTGTAACTGTCAAAGGAACAATTTTAGAACTTGTAAATCAATATCCGTCGATGGAGGGCGCTCACTGAAATCGCATTTGATGATTTTCTACGCCTACACCTGGCAACCCTGGCAGCTACGACGGTTAGAAAATTTAATGCCCACTATTCACGATTTGGACTCTAGCGCAGTCAATCTCGCCGCTAGGAAAATAGTTAAGATTTTCTTGCGTTTTTCAACTGAATATTTCTTTTTCTATTGCGTATAAACTGACAACTCTTTTTCTTTAATATATGGTGCTTTGTGTAACTTATTAACATTTTGTAGGCGATTTACCCTCCAATCCGCTTTGGGCCAGCGTGGAGGGTCATCCTCCTTAACCATCCATAAGAATGCCTGAGCCCCTGCAGTGGGGACGTGAAAGGGCTGATGATGATGAGGCGATTTCAAACTGTAAATCCAACATGATAAAATAACGAAAAATATTAAAATCCGCTTCCGGGGCTTAAGAGGTACAAGGACCGGCGGGCATTGCTAGGGTATTCCTCGGTTAAGACTTGCTTGTCCTATACGCAGGTCTAGTCGGTCTCCAGAATATGGGTAACACGTGTTACATGAACGCCGCGTTACAAGCGCTCAGTAACACGGCGCCGCTGACGTCATACTTCTTGGAATGCGCCGCAGCAGTACACGTGCTCACAGCGGACAAGAAACCGGCCATCAGCAGGTATCCATTCCACTATATCTGTACACGTGGTTGTTTATGAAACAACACCGCTATTTTTTAATAAATGGATATTATTATTATTTTTGATACAATTTGCAGTTACAATGCCATTTGAATATTTATAGAAAAAATACTTAATGGGATAGTCATTCATCACTTGTTGAAGTTCATAGCATTTTGCAATCTGAGTTACTTTTTAGTGTTCCGTATCCAAAGGGTAATCATGAAGTGTGAGAGTAAGGCAGTTGAAATTTTGACAGATGATGTATTTCTGTTGCCGCTTCAGCAATAAATACTAAAAACCAGAAGAAAATAAATATTTAAGAGTGCTCCCATACAGCACACTTAACAAATTATGGAAAAGTCTTCTGCTACTGATAATGAATCAGCAAAAAAAAATTTCGCACTGGAAATAAAATATTGCTGTCAAAACACTTAAATTTAGTCAACGTGTTCTTAAACAATACAAGGTGTTGATATATCTAATCGTCCTAAACTGGGTTTTACAAAAAGCTTTCTTTCAGTAACAATTAATTGTTACAGAGCATACCAAAAACTAATCAAAGAAATGTGGAGTCGAAAAACTAGAGGTTATGTTGTGCCTAGCGGAATCCTATATGGAATCAGAAACGTGAGTACAGTACTGAAAACACTAGTATTGAAATATAAACTAACTGTTATAACTACTGTATAATTTTTTTTCCCATAAATATTTTACTAATAAACATAAATAGAGAGTTTTGAAAATTATCCATAGATATAGTTTAATGATATCCCAACAATTTTATATAATACTAGGAACTGACGACATGTCTTATGCCTTAAAGTGAAGAGTTAGGAGAAACCTATCTCTTCACTTCAATATTTTTCCAAAACTATGTATGTACAAGTGTACAATTTCTTTGGCAATTGTTGTTACTAGTTGATTGTGATATATATTTTTTTTTGTTATATTAAAGATTATCACAATACATTTTATTATTTTACCTGTTTTTTAGTTGGTATATATCACACATGCATCTGAGTAATTTCGACCCTTTCATCTTAGTGATAGAACGCGTTATTGTGTAGGTATATCCGATGTTTCGCGGCTACCACCAACACGACACCCAAGAGTTCCTACGATGTTTCATGGACCAATTACATGAGGAGTTAAAAGAACCGGTAAGTGTAGTAATGTTAAATTCTGTAAAATAAATTTGCACAAAAATAATTTTATCACTACAAAACCAGGTTTTGCAAATCTTTATAATAAGCGTGTTGTTTCTAAAAAATATTGTTTAGAATCTCACTGTAACTATATTTTGTTCGGCTGTGAAATTATACATAATTTTTAGGTATACGATAGTATGGCGGGAGATAAAATATCTTCGGAAGCGGACGGCGATCATCAAGAGGGTAGAATAGTCCACATACGGCGACGTGCAGCCTCCTCTGGCGGTAATTTTACCAAAGCTTTCGACTCTATATCTGACATTATAAAATCCGTTTAATAAATCGTGGTATCAGCATGCCCTTCAATTGATTTTTTTTTTTAAAGTACACAGTGTCATTCATTCATCTAAATAATCTAAAATATAATATGATTCTGTGAAATACCACAAGGAAGTGTGCTATAGGCCCTGTATCCTATGTATTAAAATAAAATTTATGTATATTTGTTAATAACAATCAATGTAGATGATAAAATGGAAGACGTTATAAGTTAACTATATTTAATTATAAAGTAATGTGAATATTAATAATTGCAACCTAGAGTAAAATGGACGAATTATTTTTCTATTATAAATGTTTAATAATATTTTTATTTACAGCTAGTGACGCGCCGTTGTTCGCAAGAATGAGGCGGAAGTCTCCCGCGTCCTCCTCCTATAGTGAATCCAGAACTGACGGCTATTTAAGGTATGATCAACAGTACAGTAAGGCGAAAATTTGTGATACTAATTTTAGACTTAACTTTACAGTTGACAGGTTAAGGCTTAAATCGTTTGGAGGAATGCTTCTAAAGGACCAAAATATGTGAAATAACTATCTTGTTCCGTACACTTTTATGTGACACCTTAAAAGAAACCTTAGAGAATGTTTGGCTCAAAATTCTATACAATATAGCTTGAGGATGTCACTCGTCGTTTCAAACAGTGATAGATTGCTGTATGTCACTGTCTACTTTTACGACTAGCGTAAAAAAAAATTACGTATGAAACAACTTTTTAATAGTTTCATCGCGTTTGTATTTTGCTTTTATTGAAGTTTCGGACCCTTTACTTAATCTTTTTAATTAAAAGTATAGCATTCTTCAAAACAATTGGACACATTCACAATACAAAAAATTCATATTTTATGGAAACGCTTACATTTATTAAATTATTTTATCTACACTCAAATCGAAAAATTCGGATTACGATTTCAAAGACAATTCTATACATTCGCACTTTATAAACGCATATACATAAAATTAAAAATAAAACTCATTATAGTACCGCCAACTGTATCATAAAACTCATTATAGTACCGCTTCCTTTTTTTATTCATTAAAGTAGTATATGGTTTTAGGCTGAATATGAAAAAAAGGCGCACGCATGCGCAGTTCAAACTGTGAAAAAATGGCGCACACATAAATTACTTCGTTGTAACCTGTACCTACTTTGTTTAATTTCAATTTTTCCTATGAGTAAGGATAAAGTAGTGTATGAAACTGTATATAACTTAGGTATTAAAACACTCGAGTCGAAAGATAAACAGACTCTCGTGTTTTAATACCCCTTCTTATATGATAGTTGCACAAACTTCTATTAAAATACATTTGAAGTTTCTGACGCTTTAAAAAAAATCGTAGATCCGGGCCTGTCAGCACATATCTGACAGAAGATCCGTCGACTCCGCTGTTTGCCTTAAGATATAAGCAAAAAATAACATTACACTTTTGTTTTTATTTAATGCTCTATGTAACAGGGTACACGGTCACGAAACAACGTCGTCTAAGCACCGCCGATCGGCTAGTTTCGCTGGCACACAGCAATTGGCGTACACCGCTGTCAGTCATCAAATGAACGGCCCCACGAGTGAGACAATTGTCTTTATAATATTAATAGCTTACTAATATTCACAGGTAGGCCTGTTAAGATTAGCCTTTTAAATGGTATCAAACAGAATGGGCCAATATACACCAGTGCGGATTGGCATAAAGGTAGGATGTAGGAGAAACAAATTCCACATCAACGCCATCTTTGGACGCTTCAGTTTTGATACCGAGTAATCGAAGACCCCGATTGATATGTCATAGTGAATGCTTTTTTGATCTGTCAGGATGACAGATCAACTGGCAACAGATCAATCAATATTAGCCTGTTTAATTCTAGACCAGGAGTCGAAAAGTGACTTCAACAATTTTTTTTTTTGAGGTTAGTATTTTACATATTTAGAAGTATTAATATCATCTATGGTAAGAGGAAAATATATTTTCTGATAGTGCTGTTTCTCTTCTTACTAAAGTCACAGCTGGCATCAACCTCAAAAAAAAATTGTTTGTGTATCCTACTTCTTATGTTTCGGTTTTATAGAAGATAAAAGTTTGTGGTATTATTTTACTCTATACAGCCGGTTTTCTTTATTGTTACGACGTTTTTGAAGTCAGATTAAATTTTCTTTATTGTTTTTTTTTTACCCCATCATGTACCATGATGTACTATGATATAATGTTACGTCTAACATCAGGTCCGGAGTTGAATCACCGCGACCTGGACTCGGAGTCCGAGTTGTCGTGCTCGAGTGAAGCGGAGGAGCGATACGAGACCTGCTCGAGCGGCGCCAGCGACGTGCAAGATTCGATGCCCGAACGTACACAGTGAGACGATCCATATGACGTTCATTATATATCTATATATATAACCATTTATAACTCTAGAATGCCTAGACCATTCTCTATGATATTTTTTTTTTCGATGATTTTTTATTTATTTATGTTTATTTAACACTTTATTGCACAAAAAAAATAAAGCCATTGCAAGGAACAAAAAAATATATGAATTACAGTTGTGCAATGGGCGGCCTTATCGCTGAACAGCGATTTCTTCCAATAAAATAATCTTATATAAAATAATAATTAAAAAGACTCAAAAAATTTGTGATAATACCGATTTATTATATTTGATCAATTTTTGCGAAAGGTCATGGATTCGAATCCCATCTCAGAGTGCCACGTACAAGTGGATCTTTTAAGCATTTTTCATTAAGAGTATACCAGTTATTTGTCATATTAAAACGCAACTGACAAATTTCGTAATGTTGTCTGTGTCTATGGTTTTTGTTTGAAATTGTCGCTAAATAATAAATTTGCTCTTTCATTAACTATTAGGAGGAACCAAGAAGTTTATATATCTTTACCAAAGATATTAATATGTCAAGAAACACAATACATACCGAAAATGTGAAGCTACCAAAACTAAGACATTTGTCTTACTTTTAGCGTTTTTCACTTCAATACTAATTCAATTTCCGCCGAGAAAGTACAAAAAAAAAATGCTCTGGAAAATGAGAATTACTAAATGTCAAAACATTGATGTAAGTGGTATCTTCTGACAACTATTTGAATATCATAGAAAGTGCATGGAAGTGTAAGAAAGCAATCTCAACGAGTTTGTTTACAACACCAAGTGACGTCACAACTACAGAGTAACATGGCGTCCGGGATTTTTGTCAAATTTCCGCGAAAATGTGCATAAATATGTAAGAAAACAATATCAACGAGTTTGTGTACAACACCAAGTGACGTCACAACTACAGAGTAACATGGCGTCCAGGATTTTTGTCAAATTCGCGCGAAAATGTAAATTGAGATACTTTTCAAAAATAGACGTATATATTTTATAGATTCTAGTACACTTGTGACGATATAATATATTTATTATTATTATATGTGGACAGTGTACTGGGTACAAAACCTCAGTCGACGTCTTGTGGCGGCGGCGACGGAGGGTGCGGCGGTACAAAATATCGCAGCGTGATATCTGACGTGTTCGACGGTAAACTGCTGTCGTCTGTACAGTGCCTCATATGTGATAGGGTGAGTGGAACACTGTTACATATATATACTTGCCGAATTCCCCAACGTGGCTCGGTGGTGTAGTTGATATACGCAGCGGCCCGCGGTCGTTGTTGTTGAGCAACTTTTTCAATGGTGGGTCACGGGATGGGTGACCACAAAACATTGCTGCCGTCCAAATTGCATTAAAAATGTCTGATACGAACCTCGCATTCTATACAGGATCATCACAGCCATTATTAATATAAAACTTCTCAATGTGATTTCTCCAATTACAGAATATGAACTCGTGTCATTAAACAAACGTTAATTAATATTCAATGAGGAGTTTAAGCTCTACAGTCCGTTTCACGTAGCATATGTACGTTGACGTTTGTTGACGAATTTATTTCACGGAATGTGTATTTTCAAATATTTTAAAAACCATCGCAATAAAAATTGTTTGACTGTGTATATATTAGATACTTATTTTAATTGGCTTATTAAAAAACAAATATTTTTTTTAATACATGTAATTAATGAAATCTAACCCTCCAAAGCTTAAAACATCAATACTTGTAACGAAAATTGTACTTTTTTGTTTTTTTTAGTAGAGATTAAATAAATAAAATTCTTTTAAATTGCAATATGTATTTGTACAAATACACATAAACTATACATAGAACAAATGTGATCGTCTTAACACTTCAAAATCGATTATCTCTATTAGAAATGAACTCAATAATATAATCGTAGCTTTAAGTACTGATAGTATAATGTATGGACCGTGTCCGGTACAGGTGTCCACCCGCGTGGAGACGTTCCAGGACCTGTCGCTGCCGATCCCGTCGCGCGACCACCTCGCCGTGCTGCGCTGCCAGCAGCCCGCGCCCCACCACGCCGCCCACCAGGCGCAGGACTCGTGGGTGAGGGGCACACTATATGTGTATCATGCATATGAAAAGCTGCAATTTTAAACTGCTACTGGATTAATTCAATATTTGGTCTTTTAAAATTTCGGATTTTCTAGCAAGTAAGATTGCCACTTCGGACCAATGTTGCCTGCTTCACATCCGGTTGGTTAATTTTCTAACTGAGACTCCATACTTAAACAAAAAAATAAATATTATAATAATGATAAAGCAAACTCTGCTTATAAGTGTGTTTACACATTCTCATCACATAAAATTAAGTTAAAAATCTACTTCCTACTTGATTACGTTTAACCGGCCATAATACTTATTTACATTGTGAGAAATGTGAGAAATCTTATTTCGCAACGGTCGTTCATTTGATGGACGACCAAACATTTGTTAACACGAGCTTTTTTGTGTTTTGTGTGGCACGTTGAGCCTCCGGTCCCGGCTCATCAATATTATCTGATGAGGAAGGCTAAATTTTAAAACACGGGACGTATTGCAGCAATTTAGCACGTGTAGACAACGGTTTTTTATGAACGTTATTCACAGGGTATAGTGAGCAAAGAGTAAAGTAGTACTGAGAATAAACAAAAAAAATTTGAATTTATAATTAGGGTTATAATTATATCCTATGTTTGCTGCATATTTGTATGTAGTAAAGAAGGAAGGGACACATTAAATAGGTTAAAAAATTTATTGAATATTTTGTGTTAACTACATGTGCTAAAGCTGCAGCCTGGCGACATAATACTCCAGTGGTCCTCTGTTATGAATCAGTTCTCTTATAGCTGAGTCTTAGTTGTTTGTTTTTTAGCTATGGTGGGTGCTGGGTTGGCTCCGGTCTTGGCTGTACGGTCCGGTGGTATCGCTGCAGGATTGTCTCGCAGCATTCTTCAGCGCGGACGAACTCAAGGGCGATAACATGTACAGGTCCGTATTCAGGCAACATTATTATACATAGTTAATATTGATATTCAATTATTTTTATCTCGTACATAAGTAATATTTTTTTATTACTATTATTATATACTTGTTTTTATCATAAATTTTGTAATTGCTGTGTCATATTTATATATAGTACGATTAATGACATGTCACGCATTGTAACCCAGTCTAGAGCACCTGTGTTGCTTATATTCATAAGTGGAATTTTATAGGATACAATACATTGTTTATTTTTAATAGATTACTAGTTTTCCGCAAGCGGCTTATTGGAAGTGGAACTGTTTAGTGGAATAAAAAGTAAAGCTTAGAATTTAATTAAAGAATTCACTTGGTTTAGGTTTCATATCATGACTCGGATAAAATTACAATGACGAATTGAATAGTAAGCAATGGTTACTATGGTAACGTTTTCATTCCCTATACAAAATTCCACTCCCATTTTCATCACTTTATTTGCTGTTTTTTTTTTGGTTAAAATATAACCTATGTCCACCGCATACGATGTAGCTTCTGGTAGGTGAAAGAATTATTAAAATCGGTCCGATAGTTTCAGGACCTATTCGATGCAAACAAACAAACAGTCAAATGTTTCCTTAACAACATCAGTATTGATTTGATCATATTATCATTTCATATAACTTTACTCTCTCGACTCTAGCTCTAACTCTGTTCACTTGTAACCTCCTGGCTATGTCTTCAATAGATTTCAAGCCTTAATATGTCGTTAGTTAAATTCAAAATTGTTTATAGAAATTTTGCATTTAGTTGAAAATATATCATCAATTGATCGATACACGCTTTTAAACAGTTGTTCCCGGTGCAATAAACTCCGGAACGGTGTTAAAATGTCCGGTGTGGTCCGGCTGCCGGAGGTCCTGTGCGTTCACCTGAAACGGTTCCGGCACGAGCTGATGTTTAGCGCCAAGGTCGCGGCCAGAGTGTCCTTCCCGCTAAGGGACTTGGACATGTCGCCTTACACGCATAAAGGTGAGTTGGCTTGACTTGTGAGTAATTAATTAATACAATGACATCTCGAATGTTTTCTACCCTCGGTTTTAATATATAGAACCCGATCAAATAACTGTATGACTGCTGTGATTGGATTCTAGTATATTACTGTCTTGTTATAATATAAACTTAACCTAATTAAGTAGAATGTGATCCTATACTCCACTACAATAGGGATGAAGACTAATTTATGTTTGTTTACCGTCAGGTAGATTGTTGACGAATATTAAACACGTTTTTTTTTTTCTTGTAATCATTAAATTCCATCGATACATTGAGTTAAAATGTCACATGACGTCACGCTTTGGTACATTTTCTACAAAGCAGTGACGTAGCAAGCCCCCGCTCCTCAACTTTATTACCTGTTATCTAAGCTATTTCTTGTAAAATTGAAGTAAAAAAAATTCGTATTATATATTTTTCTATACACGAAATTCCAAGTCGAATCCATGTACCTACTATGCGAGTCAAATAAGAATACTGTCAAAACGGCAATATATATTGCGCATTGCAGCATTGCGCTTCAACTTCAAGGTGTAAGGTGTGCAAAAAAATGAAATAAACATATTTAGTTTTTGTAAATCGACGCATTATCGTAATTTGAGTTAAACGGATAACGGCATATTGACATTTGTGATTGAATCCGATATAATAAAATGGCAACGCGTTCGTGGCGACGAAAATCGTATGATGTAACGTAATAGTACTACCATTTTTATAAGTAACTTCAATGACCTTTAATTATTAGACGCGTCATAATCGTCCGTTATTACGTTTTAAACGGCGTAAAATTTATTGTGGTAGCGTTATATTATAATACAACCATGAAATGCGTGAAGAAATCAAAACTACTTATTTCCCTATTAGAATCATACATCATACCTCTTGTTAGAACGAGATAAATATACTTGCTTAGCTTTATGTGTCAGCAGCAGGTAAGCGTGACGCAGAGGAATTTGGTCCTAAAGTGGTCACTAAACGTTAATCATGTGTATGACTCGTGTTTGATATCATAATCTATTTAATTAAATATTACATTACACACATATACGATTTAAATTATGCGCTTCGGCTATATTGGTCAAGCTTCGGCAATCCTAATGTATTTTAAAAATCTATATAGAGTTGTTATTACATAATTAATCATTTAAAAATAAAAGTATACTGTTTCTTGCCATCAGCTGATACGAAAATGAAAACCCCAGATTAAAGAAAATCGAATTAAGATAAATCGGTTGTACTAACTAAATAAGTTTCTAACACCCGTAAGTAGAACAGTTTTTTTAATAAAACAAAATTCATCAATTAATCACAATTTGATATGACTTCTATACCCGACATTTCAGACTCAGAATCATTACTGTCGCTGCTGGAACCAATGTTTTAGTACCTATATTCAAATAAGGTAATTTGGCGTATTACAGCTCTGTATAATTCTTAATGCTGAAATGTTGCGTGCTGTCACTTCCATCACAGTCGAGGTACTGACTAGTTTTGGCGGCTAAAACGACGATCACACATCGGTTTCTTTATCGGTTAAATTCGTGAACGCGAAATATACCGAGGCGCATAATTTAAATAGTATGTGTGTAGTCGATGTTGTGGTGAACCCTGTACAATTGTCGGCAGAGTGCACGTCGAAGATAAGCAAGTACGAGTTGTGCGCGGTGATATGCCACAGCGGCACTGCCGGCGGCGGGCACTACACGTGCGTGGCGCGCAACCACCGGCACTGGCACGCGTACGACGACCAGTGCGTCAGCGCGCTCACGCCGCACCAGGTGGCCAACTGCGAGGCGTACGTGCTCTTCTACAAGTGAGTGCACTGCTACATGTTTAAACAACGCCACAAAGAATCATCCACTTTCCCTTTAAAGATCTTGTGTACCTACCATTAGTGGTAATTTCAATTAGATTTAACATTAAATAGAATAACATCTAAGCATCTTTTCGTCTGGAGGCCAGGGGGATTCATAATTTGTAAATAATCTTTTGAGGTTATATCAGCTGTCAAAACTCGAGATAGTTGTGTAGCCATTTTAAAAATTAATGCATTCAAATAAAAGCTTTTTATAGTTTGACTCGTAAATGTGGAAATGCTTTTTTACCTAATGACGAAAGAATATATTTCCATAGTAGATGAAATGAAACGTAGCAACCGTCGTCATTGTACGGTCCGAATCGAATGAGGGTTACTTTTAAAAATATTTATCTGCTTCGCAATTTTTATCCTGATTTTATTTTAAGACTCTATTACATGGTGTGAAATAAGTATAAAATAAGTTACATTTTAAGATATATCACATCACTCTAGAAGCGTCAGTTATTGTAATTTTTTTTTAAATAAACGGATTTCATGTGCTGGCATACGAGTTATGCTCCACGTCTCTGTACGAGCTGTTTAACACTTACACTCTGATATCATGATGAACACAACACGTTCCAATTAATGTCAAATAAACGGTATTGTTAATTCCTTATCTTTCAAAAACCTCACGTCCGCAATCGCAATCACATATCAAATAGTTGTAGTATGATGTTCGTGAATATCTTTTAAATGTGAAATGACCCCCTGATGTGGCTCATCGATGTTTGCACCTTCACAGATGGCTAAATTTCGAAGCACGCCAAATATCGACTCAAGCGTAAGACCGCGTAACTCTCTAGCCTTGATTCTAACCATGTGATAACGATATCTTAGCGATGTTATGAAGCTAAACGTCTCATGTTACGAAAATAGAGAATATTACGCAAATCTCGCCTTAGATGGCAGCACTAGCACGTTTAGTAAACGACCAACTTTTTTCGAACATTTTGTTTTTTAGAAATAAATTATTTCCTTTGTACATTTAAATAAGCAGCAATGATGTATCATTGGATAAAATTAGGCTAACTAATGATAATTTCAAAAATATTGAATTCCTATTATATTCACCGTCACTTTACTCTTTGTTCCTTACTCTGTGAATAACGTTTGAAGTTTAAAAAAAACCTGTTTACTACACGTGCTATAGTGCCACTATCTGATGACTAAAAGTTGCAATAGTACGTATAATATTATTATGTTATTCCGTTCGTAAGGAAAGTAAACCCCCAAATGGCAGTGTTGAGACAGAAGGCCGCCGAAATATTGGAGTCTACGAACGTCGAGCCCAACGATATCAAATTCTACATCTCCAAACAGTGGATCTACAAGTGAGTGCATGGATTAAGATCGACGTGTACAATCAAAGGCAAAACTGAATAAAAATACAATTCATTTTTTTCAATACTATTGTTCTAGATTAGCATTCGAAGTCACCTCCATTAAATAAAGAAACACGAAGGAATTTTTGGGTCTCTATCAAATTAGAGGTGTCCAACGGACACTAAGTTTTCTGCCACTAAATGTTCGTAGAGGATTTTGTACACTTGACTCATACCTATGACTATGCTTGTTCGTATTTGCTTATAGGTCACTCTTTTGTTAGTCTCTATCATACGTCACGTAACATTAATGTTTACTTGAGTAGTCACTGTAGATGTCCGTCCGTGCGACCATGTTTGAACTCATTCAACTAGTAAACAACGGCACGAGATAAGGTTTCACTGTGAAAGGTTATTCGAAATCTATTGTAACTTTATTAACTTAAATGATATTGGAAGTCATAATATATCTAATTTCATGCTGGTATAACACAGACAATTTTCAATTTATCGCCAAAATATTCGTTGTACGGAGAATACACCTTATTGATGAGATAGTTATAATAAAAGTCACTTGTAGGCAATAATAATAAAAAGTATATATTTTATTTAGTCACTGTAGTAACAAAGTTCTTAAACTTATTTTAACACTGAGTCTCTTTATACTAATAAAATTATAGAAAAGAAAAGTAAAACTATGGTGAAATAATGGTAGTAGAAAGTATGGTAAAATGGTATGAGTGGATACGCGCGATTGGTGTGGCGATCGGAAAAATACTAACTTTTACTTCAATATTAGAGACATTGCGAAACATCATTTTAAATAATTATGAATAAAGTAGCAGGCGAATATTGCTGACGCGCGTTACCTACTTATTACAGTTCAATGTGCGGTCGGAACCGTACACTCGTATTTATTAATATTAATGATACAATAATATTTACGGAGGGTTCCATTGCCAAACTTTAGACTATTTCTTTTTTTATTGAATACAAAAATGATCATATTATTAATTATAACAAAATTTCATCTTTATCGAAAGTTTAAATATTTGTAAAAATAATTCTTTCGGCTGTTCGGGTGTATTGTTAGGTAGCTTAGGGGTTGGAGCAGTCGCCCGGATTGCGAAAAGTCATGGGTTCGAGTCCCATCTCAGATTGCCAAGGGATAAAATGGATTTTTTAAGCATTTTTCATTAAGAATATCGCAAATTTAATTTTTATTCAAACAATGAAATGTGAGTTGAGAGTTTTACGAGTGATAGTGGGTCGTGTACTGTAGGTTCAACACGTGGGCGGAGCCGGGCCCGATAGACAACAGCGACTTCGTGTGCTGCCACGGCGGCGTGCGGCCCGACCGCGTGCGCCACCTGCCGCTGCTGGCCGTCTGTCTGCCGCAGCCGCTGTGGGAGTACCTGTACGCGCAGTGAGTACACGCGCCTGGGGGAGTACCTGTACGCGCAGTGAGTACACGCGCCTGGGGGAGTACCTGTACGCGCAGTGAGTACACGCGCCTGGGGGAGTACCTGTACGCGCAGTGAGTACACGCGCCTGGGGGAGTACCTGTACGCGCAGTGAGTACACGCGCCTGGGGGAGTACCTGTACGCGCAGTGAGTACACGCGCCTGGGGGAGTACCTGTACGCGCAGTGAGTACACGCGCCTGGGGGAGTACCTGTACGCGCAGTGAGTACACGCGCCTGGGGGAGTACCTGTACGCGCAGTGAGTACACGCGCCTGGGGGAGTACCTGTACGCGCAGTGAGTACACGCGCCTGGGGGAGTACCTGTACGCGCAGTGAGTACACGCGCCTGGGGGAGTACCTGTACGCGCAGTGAGTACACGCGCCTGGGGGAGTACCTGTACGCGCAGTGAGTACACGCGCCTGGGGGAGTACCTGTACGCGCAGTGAGTACACGCGCCTGCCGCAGCCGCTGTGGGAGTACCTGTACGCGCAGTGAGTACACGCGCCTGCCGCAGCCGCTGTGGGAGTACCTGTACGCGCAGTGAGTACACGCGCCTGGGGGAGTACCTGTACGCGCAGTGAGTACACGCGCCTGCCGCAGCCGCTGTGGGAGTACCTGTACGCGCAGTGAGTACACGCGCCTGCCGCAGCCGCTGTGGGAGTACCTGTACGCGCAGTGAGTACACGCGCCTGCCGCAGCCGCTGTGGGAGTACCTGTACGCGCAGTGAGTACACGCGCCTGGGGGAGTACCTGTACGCGCAGTGAGTACACGCGCCTGCCGCAGCCGCTGTGGGAGTACCTGTACGCGCAGTGAGTACACGCGCCTGGGGGAGTACCTGTACGCGCAGTGAGTACACGCGCCTGCCGCAGCCGCTGGGGGAGTACCTGTACGCGCAGTGAGGGAGTACACACACATCATCGTTAGCCGCCCACTGCTGAGTGTAGTCCTCCCCCATAGATCTCCACGGCACTCAGTTCTACTTATGGTGACCTACGTTCGTCATTTCCAGACATTTTTTACTCAACGGCCATCTGTTCTTCTAGCTATATGTCCCGTTCACTGCCACATCAGCTGAGGAGTCCTTCGAGCAATGTCAGTAACTTTGGTTTTCTTCCGGATCTCTTCGTTCTTATTACGATCACGTAGAGAAACACCAGACGTTGTTCTCTCCATCGGCGGCTGTGTGATTTTGAACCTTCGTGTTGACATTGTGAACGACTTCAGCGACACCTAGCGTCCGCAACCTTGCGAGCTTTGACGCTTTGATTTAAACGTGATATTTTTAGACAAAATATTAAAAACAATAACGTATTTTCAATTTTATTGTAAAATAAAAAATTAAAGCGTCTTTGACTTTTAAATTATTCATTTATCGTTAAATCACTGAAAAATGATTTTTATATCAACATGAGTGTTATTCAGAGTGAGTACCGGGTTTGTAAAATAACGATAACGAAAGCAATCAATCTTAATGTTATTTGTCTTGAAATATAAATAACGTGATGTCGGTTGGTTTTATAAAAAATATATTATTATTGTAAATTTATTGCTTTATCGTTTTGTTTTTTTTTTTTTGTATTATAAAATCTTGAGAAATAAACATTAATTTATCGGACAGAAACACAAGTACACAGTACGGTGCGACAGATGACAGAGCTCGCAATGTTTTTATTTTTGGGCACCAGAAGCGCTGGGATAGTTGTGTTACTTGTATTTCGCATAAAATACGATTTGCCTCGACGAGTGCTAAAGGTCGTGTGTCCGGCGCAGGTTCGGCGGCGGGCCGGCGGTGTCGCACGTGCACGAGTGCGCGTCGTGCGCGCGCGCCGCCCGCCGCCGCCACGCGCGCCGCGCCCAAGAGCTGGCCGCCTTCTGCGACCTGCACGCCCTCTTCCAGGTACAGGTATTGCAGGTGTCTAGCTAGGGTCGGTCACGGGACGGGGGACCGAACGATTATTATCTCGAGCCACTCCAGCTTCGGAAGGCACGTTGAGCCGTCGGTCCCGGCTGCGTTTGCAGGACGTTGATACCCTCCGATCCGCATTGGGCCAGCGTTAACCGTCCGTGAGGAAGGCCTGAGCACCTGCAGTGGGGACGTAAAAGGCCGGAGAGAGGGAGAGAGAGAGACGTTACATATTACATTTATATGTAGCGGTATGTATATGACGGCGGGTAGGCGGAAGAGGCTAACACGAAGCCCGAATAGATCGACCATATCGGGGGGCTATCTTTAAAATAACACCGCAGGCGTGTGTACCGACGTGGATTTGTTCCGTTTTATCACTTTTCGTACGAAAATATAACGGGATGAGCGCGATGTCGTCGGATGTGTTCACTCTTCGGCGATCGGAAACAGAATGTGTGCCAAAATGGCGGCGACCGGCTTTTCGTTAACGAACTGTCAAAATCAGTTTTACGATTCTAATAAAATTAAAAGTATCGATGATCACGCTCTCTACAATCGAATAATTAAGTAATCGAATAACTAGTAATTTAAAAAAAAGAAACTACAACGATCTTCGTAATGATGATGGAGATATTCTCCCACATGTATGTTATTTGTATGTATATATGTAGGTATGTTTCTCTCGCAATGTAAGACACCATCTACTACCCGTCTATTTAGTAACAGAGTCCAGTCTAACCTGCGGTTGCCTGGCAGGAATTGCTCTTCAGCGATAAGGCTGACGATTGTACAACTAAACTGTATCAATTGTAAATTTTTCTATAATTTATGGTGTACAATAAAGAATTTATTCATTCATTCATTCGTTACCCATACAAATTTGACATTCATTAGAGCTTAAAGGCGTCATTAAACCCTAATGGACGGTTGTGCAACTCACCGTATGTCATTATGACGTTTGGACCGTTCAGCGAGACGGCTTAGTCTTGTTATCTATTAAAAAATATATATCGTGAATTTCTAACCTATCAGGTCGGGTGATTATACCACTTGGCTGCGACGGATACACATTGAATATATATACCTAGTGTAGCCATAAATTCTGTTACTGGCTGTTTACATACATTTAAAAAAGCATTAATTTGAATTTCGAACGTTTGCTTCTACGATAAAAAAATAGACTTCTTTCCCGCCATTATTGTATGTTTTTTGTTGAGAATTTATTTGTTTTGAAAATGGAGTGGGGCACTAAAGAGAATAGGATTGCAGTAATTGCACTGTACAAAGTAGGTAAGGAGCCAACCGATATATTTGATACATTGAAAAAGCTAGGGATTAGCCGAATGTTTGTCAGGCACTAAAACAAAAGAGAGTTGTAAGATCAAAACAGCTGTTACTTCGATATACGGATGAAAAACATAGTAAAATAAAAACTCTATTTTTAAGAACCTAAAAAAGCAGGGTTGGATGATTTGGGCGCGATTCTCATTTCACTATAACTGCCAAATTTAAAATGTGGCCTAATCTCTTCAGTAATACAGCCACGTACAAGATATCAATAAAAGCGTTATAATTTGGAAAATTGAAACTCTCATATCTAACCTAACTTCTGTAATCCTCCATTTTTCTTATATTATAATAAATGGAGCATAAGTTGTTGGTGTTTAACAACTAACCCTGTATCACCGTACCCTGCCTACTACTGCAATACATATGTATACAGGAGCAGGAGCGTCCGCGTGCCATATACGCGATCAGCATGCACTGGTTCCGGCAGTGGCAGGCGTTCGTGAGGAACAAGACGCCGCAGCCGCCGCCGCCAGTCGACAACAGCGGCATCGTCACCACACAGGTACACTCCGCACACTATCCACGTGGCCAGTGGCGAGCTACTGGGGTATGAGCAGGGCAGGGTCATAATGTTCATTAAAATAAGCAGGACACTTATTCGTACATTTTTTAATTGTATTTACATTTATACATACATTTTATATTCTGTGTACGTTGTGTGGATATTTTACGGGCATTAGATTATATAAATATCGTATCGTATCTATAAGAATAATGGTTAGGTATTGTGGAAGTGTGATTTTTTTAATCATTACAATAAGCCGGAAGTTAACGATATTTCAAAATATAGTTTGAATGTATTATTAATTTAAATTATATCTGTAATTTTTGTATATATATTTTAAACCTAATTTTGATTCCAAATAAAACGTGACTTATAAATAACATTTAAAGTAATTGATAAAATTGGAAGCCACGTGACAGCCAACTAACAACAAAATAACAAAAATATAGACAAGACATATTTTATGAATTTTAATAATATAATTTCTAATAACTTGATTATTACATACCAAAAATGCACGCATGAAGAAGCTGCTAACGTTAGATTCATAGGCATAACTATTGACAAGAAACTAGATTGGAAACAACATGCAGAAATAGTTTGTAATAAGATAAATAGCTTCTCACAGGGCTTGAAACCGGTTCAATATAAACCGTTTTTATTTAGGTAAAACCTGTTCTTTTATAATTTTCCGTTCTGGATCAGAACTAAATGCGGAGTGAAATAAAAACCGGTTAATTCGCTTGGTTCGTAAAAAGCAATGTTCTTACGCTTTTAATGCGAATTATATCATTTTTAAGCGACGACATTTATCATACCTAGATAGCAGTAAAAGCACATAAAATCCGCGCTGAAGTTTGTGAGATCATTGTTTGGAGGCATATTTAAACCGGTTAATAAAGAAAACCGTATTTCTAGTGAACCGGTTCAAAGGAGCTGCACCTTTTATGTAAAGTTTCGCATGTACTTACGTCGAACCGGTTAAAAAAATTAACCGGTTTCCAAGCCCTGGCTTCTCATTTGCGCTATTTAAATTATCGAGAGTAGCGACAAGAAGTACGGCTCTCGCAGCATACATCGCTTATGTGGAGTCAATTTTACGTCATGCAAATTATTATTTGGGGCAATGGTACAGATGCGCAAAGGGTATTTATTGCCCAGAAAAAATGCATAAGATCCATATGTGGTATCGCTCCCGACGTCTCATGTAAGCAATGGTTTAAATTTCTTGGTATTCTACCTCTTCCTTGCTTATATATATTTGAAGCAGCGAAATTTGCCGAACGATACCCTGATTATTACAAAATAGCTCATGAAGTGTATCCCAAGAACACTAGAAATAACAATAGGCTAGTTCTTGACATAGTCCCAAAAAGCGCGCGATTTAAAAATAACTGCTACTGTATGTGTCAAACAATATTTAATAAGATTCCGGAATCTATAAAGAATACGCCTTTTACTAGATTTAAGAGAGAGTTATATAAGTGGCTTGCTGAGCGTTCCTTTTATTCGTTGCATGAGTTCTTAGACTATAGAAACTGAACGGTAGCCTGGGTGGATTAATCAGTGCTTATAATATCTTCTTTTACTACATTTGCATTTACATTTTTACATTGTTAATGGCTGAATAGGCGATAATTATATTACCTTTTATATCTCTTTTGTATACCCTATTCAAACGCAAATAAATTATAATTATTATTATATTTATAATCTACTCTTCCCGACCCCTCGACGATTCGAGTGGTGGAAGAATTCCCCCCGGCAGAGGAGGTCAGACGGCCGGGGGTCAGGGCGACAAAGAGAGAAAACGGCGGACGATTTTATTATTATTATAATGATATGTCGATTTACTTTAAAAAAATAGTTTTTTTTTTTTCAATTTATTAATATGGATCTGTTAGAGTTTGATATATTTTAAGTAATATTATTATTCGTATTTGCGTTAAATTGACTCTCGTAATATTTTCTTGGGGATGTTTGAAATTTCATTTTCAAACATTTTCACATAATTGAAAATCAATATTTAAATGCGATTCAATCCAGACGTGCGTGATCGATTTTTTCATGCCTTCTGTCATTTCGTCATGTCATATCCGATATTATTTTGTGACGTCACGGTTTTCTAGGGCAGTTTGCGGTCACGTGACTCGCAGCTAAAAATAATTATTTTAAAATGAGAAAACTGTTTGAAATTCGTAATGCATTTATTTAAACTATATATTCTTTTTCGTCTACAGTCAACTCGCGGATAGCTCACAGGATATTATGTGTTTTCAGGAGATAGACGGCAAAACGACTCGCACTCTGAAGCAGGGCTCCGATCACGCTCAGTTGAGCGAGGAGCTGTGGCGGTTCTTCACCGGCATATACGGGGGCGGGCCCGAGGTGCGGCTGCGCGCCCCGCCCCCCGCCCCGCAGGCACCGTCCCCCGCCCCCGCCGCCGCGCGGCCCCGCCCCCCCACGCGCCCCCGCTACTCCGACTCGGACCGGGAGGACTACTGCCTCAAGGCCACGTCCGAACTCAACATCCGGGACTCCGTGCACAGCGAGCTCCAGAAGAACCAGTCCCTGCAGAACATCGACCGCCGCTGCAAGAGGAACGACTCCGACGACGACGTGTACGGCCCCTGCGCGAGACCGGAGCCGAACGGGAACTACGAGTCGGACGAGGACATGGACGCGAGCCCGCCGAGGAGTCGCGCGGAGCCGATCCGTATGGAGAACGGAGTGGACGGCTCCGACCACGACGCGAACGATAATCCCGTTCCCGACCCCGAGTTGCCGAACATGGACAGTATATCGCTGAAGAGCAAACGCTCCAGAGCGGGTAGAGTGAGAAAGAGCAAAAGGCGGACGGTGAAATGATTCTTTCTCGCTTTCGCGTTCGTACACAGGTTGAGACGGAAGGTCGCCGGCCGCGATCGTTTATAGTTTACGGTGAACGGTGTTACCTTAGTGCATTTAGTGTGGTTTCGTGAAGCCTAAATTCGGGGACTTTGATATGATATATTTTTCTATGTAGAATTTAATCGTGCGGCCTCCGCGACCCCTTGTAGGTACGGTGTTTAGTATTTTTTTTTTATTAGTACAATTTCAAAGGAATTTAGTTTAAATTCTACTCGTAAAGTTAGGACGGTGGACGAAGGGTGTTATTTTTTAACGACCATAATTGTATATTTCCAGTGTGTATATCTTGTAATTAAATAAAATTATGATAAATTTAACTGCCCCCTGCCTGTGAATAGATAAATTCGATGTTTATATAGATATAATAAGAATTTCTGACTGCATTTCTTTCTGTTATACCGTTATATGGATAAGGTATTTATTTTGTTATTTCTGGTTCTAAGTATATGTGTTGTTAAATATTGATCAGCAATAAAAAATATATTTCACTTATATTGGCTGCAATTTTTTGTTTGATTTTCATAATTAATAAAAATGCAAAGGAAGGATACATTTTATGCTATCAGTTCATATAATAATATTGGAATGTGGACGGTAGTTTGAGAACGAATACCCCCGAACAACGATATTCGAAGTTGATCCTTCGAGCCGGATATATTTAATCAATAGTACACATCGCAAGTAGAGACTGTCTAATATAAGTTGATAAGGCGGTTAATTTGAAAGTTAGGAATGTTATCTTCAGAGATAGTGCGAAAAAGTTGTTGATCCTTCCTTGGTTTTTTGGAAAAGAACTTTGTTTATTAACTGGTCTTTAAATAATTGTAAAAATAATCAAACAACTTTTTTAAAAATTTCAATATATTTAAACGGACAATCTTAGTTTTTATAAAACTTCCTTCGAAACTTTGTATTACAATGTAGTGTGATATATGTCGAAACTTTGTATTACAATGTAGTGTGATATATGTAGGTTGAGTAATTTCTTCTTCTTTTTCTATTTTAATGACTATTTTGTGTTAACCACAATCCTGCCAATTTCACGTAGGAGACCACTAAAAGATGAGTAATGGAAGTACATATCAAAATCAAGTAGACGTACGTCCTTGAGTTTGACACCTCGCTTGTTAAAAGTAAATGTTGCCAAGGTTTAAATTATGTCCGATTGGGTATATAATTAAATAATACCAAATGAAGATGTTCAAAATGTTTATTACTGAAGACCACATTTATTATAAACCAGGTACAATGTTTATAATTTATTTGCATATTGCGAGGGGTTTTCTGCTGAGTTAGTAAAACATTTACTTTTTAGGGTAGGTGGAAATCTGACAAAGATCCATTGAGCGTCTTGAGGAAGTAGACGTTAGTGCTCCACGGACTTTCCGTTGAGTTGGCAAGGTCGACTGTCATATCATATAATTTGTCAGTTATTAATTTCCGCCACCGATGAGAACGCAACATATCTTTCGCCAGATATGCACCGACCCTTAATGTTGTAGGTTCAGTATGATGCTGAATCGGAAATAATTTTTGTTGCTGAACCCCAATTCGTTTAGCTAATTTGTATAAGAATTCAATTGTTGTTTTTTTCAAATTTTTCATTATTTGTTTGTACCAAGAAAATTGCTTAAGTAAACGTTAAGAACAGACAACATTATTTCTGACTCGAACAAGATCAGCTGTAGATTTTTCAAAATTTCAACATCCAATTTAAATGCTATTATTCAAAAAAGCGTAACAAAAATAGATCAATTCTATTAAAATATCATAAATATCTAAAAAATATTTTTTTCCATTATAATGCAAACAATCTACATTTTCTTTAATTATTTATTAAGGCCCCTAAGTTATGTACCAAAATTACGTATATCTATTGATCAAGAAACATATCTTTGCTAAAAAACAATATATACATAGTATATAGACAATCAACATCTATTTTTATAAAAAAAAAATATTTATATATTTTAGAAATTTATCCAACTGAGATTTTATTGATGTATGTTATACTAAGATTATCAGGTCGATAATAATTGCACATTCATCAGTTTTTAGTTATATTAGAATCAAATGAGTTTTGAAAAATGTAATTAAAAAAAAACAAGAGCATTAATATGCCACATACACAAGACACACTGGCTCCCTTTCATTGAATTTCGTTGCTGTTACAAATTATTAAAAAAATATATATTCACATTTATGCATATACAAAACAATATTCGAAATTACACTTGCTTACATTAAGCAAATAAAGTAAAATTATTTGGTATTACACAACATTATTGTAACTAATATTTAAAATATATAATTATATATGTAAAATAAATTATAACGAGTTAAACTCATTACAGAAAATACAACTACGCAACTGGGATGTACTTAACAAATTCAAATTATGCATATAAATAGATCCCCAAAGAGTTAAAAAAAATAGTTTCAATGAAAACACTTTGTGTCAAAAAACAATAACAGACACATGATTTAACTTCACATCTGTTAACTAACTGTTAATAATAATTTATAAATAAATACACATTACTCATTCAAGTCATAACTAAGATGATAGAGCAGTCTATATAGAAGTACATAGAGTATTTTTAGTTTTATAACAAAAAAAATCTGTGGAAATCAAATATACTGATAATATATACTGTGGAAAAAATATTAAATTATAATTAATTATAAAAACAGCATTTTTGGACTGCTATACAACATTTTTAATCTCTTGTTTTGAGAAAAGGTAGATTGATTTCTTATAACGACAGTTTAGAATTTTATAAATGAATTTTCGATTGTTCCAAAGTAGTAAAACATAAAATATGTTCTTAATATAAAATAGACTTAATTCAGTTTTTAATGTGGTATGATTGCATATGCAACTTTATTTAAATCAATTAAACTTGAAACTTCGGAAAATCGACAAGTTTAAATCAGAATATGCTTTTAAAATATACATAAATTAAAAAAATCCAAGTTATGTAAAATCATAAATGACAATTACAGTATCTTATTTTAGATCAATCATATTAGCGTTACAAAAAGTATCTTGACTTTATTTCATGTTATAAAAAATGTGCATTCTAAAAATTATTTCGCACGCCCATCTGAAGATTTAAAGTGGTTAATTGAAGATTATATCGAAAATAGTATATCTACCTGCTCATCAAAACAAGCATTAATTTTGATATGTTACAATAAAGATATTTTTATTATCTAAAAATATTACAAAAAGTATATTGCATAAATCGTTGTATACATGTCTGTAGCAGTACTAAATAATAAAGAATATTTAATTAAATATAAGTGTGTAAGTGATAAAATTAATATTCGCATTTTGTACTTCTGGTTGCACCTCTTATTAATATTATTAGAATTGACAAGTTTTCATAATACGCGGCAAACAACGCGACAGAAGAAATAAATTGCTGCTATCGGTTTGATCTTAACTCCCGTCTAGTGTTGTGCGATATCCTATCGATTATCGATATTCCTGTGGTCTTGAGAATTTAGTTAATAATTACTATTGTGAATCTTTAATAGATTTTTGTGTAATATGTAAACGATTAATGAATATCAAATAAAAATAGACACCAACTTTAAATTCGATATTTAGTCTTGATAAAAACATGATTGTGTAGTATCGATACTATAGAGTATATTGATTTTTTCGTTAGTTCTGTCAGCAATCGACAAGTTTGATGCAACAACACTTATCTACAAACGTCATAGGAAACAATCAAATGCAGTCAAGTTTATTGCTTGCCGCTAAATACAAAAACGTAGTTTAAGATTATGGTTAAGAATATACATATAGTTATCATGTTGGCAAATATCACTCGGTTTTGAGATTTTATGTGCTGCTATTGAATGACTAGTGGATAAAGTAAATAGACTGATCTTGTATAGTTTAAAATTTGAATTTTATATATTTATGTCTGAATATGCAGTCTACAAACTTATGAGGGATTTAGCAGACACGTTCTTATCTTTGCCTATAAAGTGGTTTCTCCTAGCATCTGAAGTAGCACCCCTGGAGACGTTTCAAAGAAATCTTTTTTGATATCCGTATATATAAAAATATGTATAATCGTCAATTTATCGACAACTTACATTATCAAAACGTGTGCGACACCAACAGTCCCTAAAATTACGTAAATACAGCTTTTTTTTTGTTTTTTTTTAATTTTAAACCTTTTTTTCAGTAACTATTACAATTAAGTTCACAGATCTCAATGCGTTTAGCTGGCATACCGTTTCAAATTTAATAATCCGAGAACATAATTAAAATTATATAACAAAATCATACATATTAATAATATTTTTTTCATATCATTAAAGATTTCTATTTATTCATGATCAACACGACAGATTATGCTGTAAACCCCGCTTGGTTTATTGTGCTCTCTTGTTTTCTCAAATAGAAAAAAATACCTAATATTCTCACTAACCTAAAATAGTTATTAAATTTCTAGCCGTATGAATAAGTTGTTTTTTGAGGTAGATACAATTTATTACAGTCCTATTACCCTAATAAATAGATTAGAATTATTTACATATTCTATGTATGAAGCGTTTACAACATTGGATCTCTCCCCTCCGCATACTTTAGTTGTTGAATTGCATATGTAAGCGCGTTATAACATTCCCTTATATCTCTCCCTTTCTTGCATAGAGAAGCGTCGTTTGCGAGAATGAATAGGAGTAACGTGCGTCAGATACTACAGCCATTCGTGAGCGCGATTTTCTCGCTTAATATTTCTGTACATTTAAGATATTCATAAAGGGCACGGTACCGAAATCGCGCTTAAATAACATTCAACACCTACTCGCCATTTTCAGACGCCATAACATTGATTATTGTTAGGTAATTATAAAACCATCAAATTAACATAATAATATTAAAATTTACGTATTGTAATGTCCTAATGTCAGGTAAGATACGTAATGTCTGGTTTTGATAAGCAATGCTCTTAAGATTGTTTATTGAATGCAATATTTTAACAAAATATTTTGTTGTTTATATCATAGCTTATAGAAATATTTCCCATTCAAATTTGGCAAAAGAATTCCTATTGTGGATTTATTTTCAGTGGATCACATTTTTGTATAGAAATATAGCAGCATATCAGGGGTGCGACCGCATAACTTACTAGCCATGACTCTTGTCGTAGGAAACGACATCTTGGCGACGTTATAGTTTGTTTCATTATACTACTACAACACATAATAAAGAATGATTATTACCAACTTAGACGTTACCCACTAAATGATATATCAAAGTAGTTGCCTGGAAGAAATTGCTCTATAGCGATAAGGCTACTGATTGTACAACTAAACTGTACCAAACACTGTACATATGTCGTATCCTATGGCTAAAGTTAGGTACTCGCACCCCAGGCTCCAAAATTGGTTAATTTCTTGCCGTACAAGTTTTCATTTTATTATCAATACATGAACATTTATAAGAAGAATTTATAATCAATTAAACTGGAAATAATTTTTAAAAGATTTCGTTTAAAAACGCGTTCTAATAAAATGCGATTACACTCTATTAACATTGAAAATCCCACCTTATATCATACAAAATAGTGCCCAAATTTCAAAACTTCATATTTGCAGGAAATCTTCCTTGTTCAAGATGGAGCTTCTCTTCTCATTGCCAAATTTGTAAAATAAAAATCAACTTATTTTCCTTACCGTTATAATAACAATTTTAAGAGCATTTGCTACAGTCACTATGAATCTCTTTGTTTGCAAAAAAAAAAATTTTTTTTCTAAACATAACTTTCAACAAATTCTCCCAATTTAAAAATTCTTCAAATTTTGAATCTGAATGAAAAGTAAAGTTTAAAAGATCTAAAATAATGCCAGCGGTACTGAAATGCAAGACACCTAATAATCCAGCTGCACATCGTCCCAACGTTCCGTGCTGTTTAGATTTGCACTATAATTTTCTAACACACTTTACATCCTCACATCACAAAACAAATTACATAATCCTATTAAAGAATGCCAAGAAAAATGTTTCTTTCTACCAATAAGAAATTCTGAATTTCCCTGCAACATTTTTGTTATGTCGAAATAATATATACCCCTAAGAAATATGTATGGAATACTCATTATATGAATTGGATCCAATGAGTTAAAAAACAACTTTCATAATATCCAAATGATAGTATTTCTGAATGGTTTTGGCACATATTCTTGTCTTGTAAATATCAATGAAAAAGTAATTTGAATTTACTCATCAATCTGATATACACCCAATTAATATATTGTCTTATGCTAAGGAGGCATCGCCTCTGAGGTATATGCATTGTTATATTTCATTATTGCATTTTGTTGCTAGCTCAAGTCTGCTGATTTGATGCTCTATTTGATTGCCGTTTCAATGTAGCTGTTCATAAATATGCTGTTACTTTGCAGAATTCAGAACCATTACTAATAGAATATAGTATGCTCTAAAGTGTAATTACATCGCGTCAAAAACAGCACGCTTCCCTAAAACATATTGCAATAGCGTACTGTTTCCAAGAGTCATACTTTATAAGGCAATCTGCTTGATGAACCCACAGACCTGAATATTCCCATAATCATGAAATAAGCACAGAGTTGGTCCCATTTAACTCCATAAACGTCATGCATGTTATGCTATAAATAAACAATATACAATTCCGAAAGTACATACACGACTAGATCACATATTCATGTAGAATTCGGAAACATTTTGGTATACTTGAGACATACAAATATACAATTTGGCAATATAAACAGAGGGCGTCCGTCCCCCGATTTCCATAAAACTTACATGGTCATAGAGTCCAACAAATTACAATTGAATTACTACTCCTGACTATTTACAGCTTACACCAATCTTACCTAGTGAGGTAGTTCGGTTTTATTCACAGTGGTTAAATGCGGGATACCGCCGTGGGGCTAGTGAGGTGGTGGAGGCGGGGGCGGAGGTTTGGGACTCTGTGCCGTCTGGAATGCCTGCGTGAACGCCGGCAGCCGCTGCTGACGAACTTCCTCGCCTGTGTACGACGGCTCACCCTCCTCCAATAGGCCCAGCATCTGACTCGACAAACCCGACGGACCTTCGCCCGGATCCAACAACAGTGACTCCACATTCTCTGTGTGGAGCAAATGTTCCTCCGATAGCGGCTGCGTCGTCATGTACGGCAAGTCTGACGGCGTCTGAGAGAATGGCGGACCAACCATGTACACCACAGGGTAACTAACTGGCAGGATCTCGCAACTGGGAGATTGTGGCTCCTCAAGTTTTATATCTAAAGGGTCCTCCAATTTGATTTCTAACGGTTCCACTTTTATATTTAGATCAGGTGGGTTATCTGGAATTTCAACAATTATCTCAGAGGATGGTACTCTGGTAGGCGCTTCAGATGTGCTCTCCTTAGATTCTGGCTTCCATATTGTGAACTCTGTGCCTTCCAATTGAAATTCAGTAAAGGTTTCTTCATATGCAGTGGCCTCTGGAACTGGATCAGTCGACAAACCAACTGAAGCTGATCTCAATGATTTGTCAGGATGAGCATTCTTAACATGTCTTACCAAATGATCTTTACGGCCAAACTTCTGCGGGCAGAAGGGGCATAAAAAATCACGCCTACCTGTATGTACAACTAGATGCCTCCTCACATCTTTTGCTGTGAAAAACCTTCGTTCACAGTAATCACAAGTAAACTTTTTATCAGTCTCATTTTTAACAGTCCGACTTCCTGTATGAACTTTAAGATGATAAATGATTTCCTGGCGTGTGTTAAAGACCTCATCGCAGATCTTACACTGTAAATTTCCTTCCTCAGCTGAATGCAAAGCCGTGTGCTTCCGATAACTCATTAATGAAGAGTAAGATTTTCTACAATCTGGCTTATCACATGTGTAAAATTTTTTAACAGGATTATGAACTCTAACATGATTTGTAAGGTGATCTTTTCTGTTAAAAGTTTTGCCGCATACATTACAAGCAAAGGCTCTAGCCTCACTATGGATCAAACTATGGCGTACAAGCTTAAATTTCGAATTGAATTTTTTATCGCAGTGCTCACATGAAAACGGTAGCTCACCAGTGTGGGATAGGATGTGCTGCGTGAGTTTCCCAGGACTGGAGAAGCGTTTGTCACAGGTGGTACAAACGTGTCGCTTACTACGGTCGCGTCGCGTACGTCGCTCAGACGCGGCGCCCGCGGCAGACGTGCTGGGGCCCGCGGCCGGGTCCTCACCCTCCTTGAGCCGTCGAGGCAGCGTGGGAACGCGGCGGGCTGCTTTCACCGTGCGGAAACACTGTTTGATCCCGCCACTAGGGCCGGGTGCGCCAAGCGCGACGTACTGTAACTTGGTGGGCAGCTGCGAGGCGGGTGGCGCTATGAATGTCTTCTGCGGGGTGGCCGCGCGTTCCCCGCTCGACTCCTCCGTGAACTCGGAGCCGCCCTCCTCGCCTTCTTTAGGGTTCGGTGGCGGACTGGCCATCTCGCGCTCATTTTTAACGTCCTTACCCTATTTCGCTTCTCGTGTAGCACGCGTTGTAGTGGTTGAGGCTTCGCAGTGGCGCTGGCTCGTCGCGATGGCAGAAAACATTTCTGTCACATTGACGGTCTGAAAGCCCTTTTTCGTATTCGTGTCACATGTTTCTCGCGGAATTTCTGGAGATCGTGCCCTTGTCGTACTGACTATCAAGTATAACTAGTTTCTGTCCGTTTTTATTCGATCGTAAAAAGTGCAGAAATAACGGAAAATGATGAATAATTGACTTTTTTCAAAGAAATACGTAGCGCTTGACATCGAAATGTTCAAATGTCAAAATAATGAAGCCAAAAGCCATGTCAAAAAATCGTCGTTGAAATAGGCATACAATCTAGTCAATGATAGACACAAAACAATAGCTGCTTTTCTACTTCAACAAATAAAATTAATATTAAAAATATGATAAAAAAACCAAAACAAAATTTCATAACCCTTGTTTAATAAAAGAGCTTGATATGTTTCACAAAATTCAAAATTGAATAGTCTTTCGTTTTGTTTCACATTCACGCACGATGCCTGTCTGTTCTCGGAATTACTCTGTGCCATAGGGAACCGATCTGAATCTGAATCGAATATACAACTTTAAAAAAAATTGATTTGTAGTACTAATCGATTCAGTAAACCTTGATATTTAGTAAAAAGCAGATCCGGATCTACGATTTTTTTCACCTGGGACAAAAATTCGTTATGGAGTCCTTTTAAGGCCCTTTATATATTTTAATCTTCATTTTTAGGGTTCCGTGCCCAAACGCTAAAATGTCCACCTGTCTGTCTGTCTATCACCAGGTTCTATCTATGAATCGTGATATTTTTAACATAAATAAATGATAAAAAAAAGCTCGCTATTAACGGAATTATAAGAAATTTTAGCAAGACGATTCATGTTCTGTTCCGCAGAGAAACTGAATCGTGCTATTTTCATGGGCAACATGCACTCAGATCCGAAGCTTTCAGGCACGACAACGCTGTGTGAAAACAACGTTTCAACAGCAATTTCAAGGTGTACGTCATGGTTCTGGGTTTGATCCCGGTCAGGTTAATATAGAGTAGAATAAGTTTTTATGTAGAAAATTAAGTTTTCTATAATATCTCGGGCCTGAGTATTGTGATACTTTTATTGTTTGGGGTTATATATGGTATATGTATAAAGAGCGTCTGTGAAATATTGATTTAATTAAAAATAGTTCGGTAGTAAAATAGACGCTTCTTCTTCTTTTATTAATGGCTTAATAGCCTATTTCGCATTATTCACAAGTGAATAATTTATTCACGAAATGAAAATGAAACGAATGGAAAATGTCAGACGCTTTATTTACAACAAATGGCGGTCAACTGTCAATGTCAAAAATAACCTAACAAATTCTTTCTGTCATTTTTGTCGGAGTTTATTTTTATCTCTTACCGTAAAGGAAAATCTTATCTTTTGAATAATATTAAATTATTGCCGCATAAAATACCACGTTTTGAGGTATGTATATGTGCTTCATTTTTTATATTCAGCACAGTTGCAATAGATAATGGTTGACAGCGATGGCTTGCATTTTCGGGTTGTATGCTCATACAAATCGTCATTTTCTCTTACTATAACAATTTTAGATACCATATTTTAGATATACTATATGTTTAGGTAAGCCTTATTCTATTTTTGTATTTAATTGATTCACATACAGTGATTTTTCAATTGAAGCTCAAGAATGGTGCTGGACTATGAGGTGTTGACTATATGATAAGAATGTTAAGTCCTTATGATAGATCCGGCTTGATTAAATAAGTAATCATCATTATTCTTGCTTTCTTAATAACCTTATGATGTTTCAGGATATTATAACTATCAGGTTAAAAAAAACACTATTAAAAAGGCAGATTTCTTTAGTTTTTATTAAAACATTAATCTGCTTTGATATAATTGACTTTAATTTTTTTGAAACCAGTTATTATCTGAAAAATATTTGCATGCTGTATAACAGAAATATATTTTAAAAACAATCAATGTTACACTGGGAACTTGTCAATGTTTATAAAGTACAAAAGTTAAGTTATGATTAATGATAAAGATTTATATAGATAGAGTGATATCTACTAATGTAAATTTAAATCTTTTGTTGCAGTCAAAATGTCAGAACAGAATATAGGATCAGCCCCTGCATCAGCAGCACCATCCAGCACTGGTGTTGCAGAAGAACAGCGCTCCGGAGGCACTGCTGGCTCTGGTATGCAAATGTTATTAATTTAATAACATATAATACATCAATATTCTACTATCGTAGAATTCAAAATGGTGTCAATTATCGTTATTCAGTTTAATCAATTTACCTTTCAATTAAAAAATTCAGCAAGCCCATGTGATGGGAAATGAAGCAATAGCTTTTTTGGAATCCAGACAAAACTAATTAATTGAGTAATAAGACTAACAGATAAATTCTCTTGTGTTAAATCTAAAATAACATAGGTAGCATAACACTCAGCCACAAAAAAAGAAAAATTCATTTTTTACATTGAATAGAAAGAAATTATATACAGGACCTCCAAGATGGTGACGGTCTTGTAACCGGCATACTTTGCCATAAAGATCCTATCATCATAGTTTATGATAGAATGGTAACTGTAGTTTTACTAGATAAAAAAAAGGAACAAATTTATTCTAATTTCTTTTCAACAGAATTGCCACAATTTTATTTGTGCTTTATTGAAATTGTTCAAAATTGAACCTTATAATACTTTTATTTCTCATATAAATTTACACTTACAATTAATCATTCATGTAAATTAAATATTTGAGTCCATGAACCAAACCTAAGTTACGTCCATGATAATTAGCTAATATTAGGATTTATGACGTCTTTGCATGTTGCTATAGGAAAATTGTGTAATGCATGAATTACTCGGTGGAACAGAACGACCGACACTCCCGAGGTTCCTGGAGAGTACTATTTGTCTTTAATATGATATAAAAAAATTATATGTCTAGGTCAAATAGTTTCGGAGATATTAAATTACAAAGTTTTTGGAAAAAATGAGTGTTTTCAACCCTGAGTCAGCTGTTTTTGGGACTTACTAAGGAAAATTTTTTAATCGGTCATTGACTTCTTCATTTCTAAAAACGAAATAAACTAGTTTGTTATTTTTAAGACCGCTTTCATGCAAATTCTACCAGAAAATCAATAAACAAGGCAATCAAAATGCTTAAATCGATTTACAGACTAACAGCTGGTTTCTGATTTGAAAAAAGTAGAAAATCTCTACTGCTTATTCTCAATAACCTGAGTTTTTTTAATTTCACAAGTTAAATAGTCCTAGTTTTATCAAACTGCTATCAACTGATCATCAAGAACTAAAATCGGAAACGAAAACTAAGTGATGTTAGTTTGAGACATTTAACTTTAAATTCTCAATTCAGAAATTGAATCTAAAATTTCCTAAATTATTGTAGAGAGATCAGTCTAACATTAACCTACGTTTTTTTTAAAAGAGCAGTTCTCCAAAAAAAAATTGTTTGAATGGGGTAATACTCCTTTAACAATGGGATCGTTAATTAAACTCCATAAAATCTTTTAGCGATTCATCAGACTAACACAAATGTACTATGTTTTAAAAACATTGAGGAATTTGTTATTAAAATAGTATTTAAGTAATTGCATTTATAAAGAACATTATAAAAATGCGTGATATCAAAAGACGAATTAAAAAAAGGTGAACCAAGTTCGTCCCTGGATAAAAGACTTATTCAAGGAACTGCTATTAAAATAATGCGTAAATTTTTTTAAAGTTTGAAGTTGGTTCTATATTTCGGAGAAAAAAAAATGTTTTAGTGTTATTAATATTTTTTATACCTAAAATAGGTAATACCTAAATATATTATATATCTGTGTAAAAATATGTCAACAAAGTGAAAGTCTTAGGAAAGGAGATTTATTTTTTCGATATAGTTTTTCTAATAATCTATACTCATATGATAAACAGTGGCGTAACTTTAGGGTGGCAAATCAGCAAAGTGCCACGGGTCCCCTCTAGCAGAGGGATCCCAGTCAGCCTTATTTCTGACATATATTATTACCAGAGGTCGGAATTACGTAGAGTTATTTATGTACTTGCATCGAAATGTTGATATTAATGTGGACCTTCCTGGGATTTCTTTATTTCTTTCTTTCATTGATGTAAGTTTGGCAACGTCATGCGTGCAGTAGTTTAAATTGTGTAAAAGTAAATAACTTTTTATTTAAAAAATCACGGGAATTTTTCTGCTTTTTAAAATTAATCTCGGGATTTGAGGCATATCCACTTTATTCTTTCGCTGTATGAAATCAGTGTAAGTACATGAATAACTCTACCTAATTCCGACCACTGATTATTACACAATTGTAAAAAAAAAAATACAATATCAGATTAATTTGCCACGGGCTTCAAACAGTATAGTTACGCCTTATATTTAGAATTTATTTATGTCATTATAATTAATAGTTTATTCAATTTATTATAATTATTATTTAAATTTATTTCATTTATAATTATTATATTTTATATAATATTTATTCGAAAAAAATAGCCATGTTCTTCCTCAAAATATTTGTTCACCCGGCCCAGCTTATCTTCATAACACACATCCAAACTATATACTCGTATTTGTCTAAGTTATGAACAAGAAAATCAACTGTAGAAAAGAACCGGTGATAATGAAAGGTGGAAAAACAAGTACCAACCCGGTATAAACAATGGACAATCGAAACACTTAACATCCGTTTTTATTGTAATGAAGGTGCCGTGAGCGGTTCACCATCTTCGGCCGAGGAGAAAGTCTACGGAGGCTGCGAGGGCCCGGACGCCATGTATGTGAAGTTGGTCTCCTCCGACGGCCACGAGTTTATTGTGAAGCGCGAGCATGCGCTCACGTCCGGTACCATCAAAGCTATGCTCTCTGGTCCGGGACAGTTCGCTGAGAATGAAGCCAACGAAGTTAACTTCAGGGAGATACCGTAAGTGTGAATATTCATATTATTCTAGCAGCTGTGGCTGTGGAAGTAGTTGGTTATCGTTTTGTCACTGTTATAGCATTGGCGCCTCCTTCTATTGTATATTCTACCAGTTCTAGGCCTTAATTTTAGTGTTACCTGTCTTGAAGTTCTAATATCACTAAAGATTCAACCATCTCAGGTCTCCGATATGGGATTGGAACTTATCGCTCACTGAACAATTACTCTACCGACTAAGGGTGCCAGATAACCTGGGACGATTGAGTTTTTAAACTATTTATTTATAAGATAAATAACTGTTTTCAGCTCTATTGTAATGGAATTAGGTCGATATTTGATCGATATTAAAAATCTGCTTTATTTTTGGTTTCATCACCTGAATATCTTCTGTTTGCAGTTCACACGTCCTACAAAAGGTATGCATGTATTTCACATACAAAGTACGGTACACAAACTCATCAACCGAAATCCCCGAGTTCCCAATCGCTCCCGAGATAGCTTTGGAACTGCTGATGGCCGCCAACTTCCTGGACTGTTAGATTTGAAAACGTTAACGATAAACGATTGGTTGTAACGAGTTTTATAAACTGTTGTTTTTTATTTCGTTCTATAATATTATGGCTCTTTTACATAAACGGTATTTTACTGTTGGTCGAGTCTAAAAACAATATGATACTGAAAGGAGAGTCACCATACTCAATATAGACATATAATAGTGTTTTTTTTTTTTAAATAAATCAATCAAAGTTGTTATTACTCTCTATTCTGTCGTTTTACTTTTCTATGATACAATCACTACCAAGTTTAGGATAAAAGTAATCTCTAAATTGTCTAAATATTTTTTGTCCCGTTGAAGGTGGCACATAAATATTAGCAATAACAGTTATACCGTTATAACTAATCTATGATTATTGGTAACGTTATGGTAACGTCGCCTCTCGCATGACATATGAAACACTGTCAAAAGAACAAACAGTATTTCCTTATGAATGCGACTAGATATTGTATCGACGAACACATAAATGAACGTTAGATTTTAGCAGGATAAAACTGAGCTAATTTAAATAAATCTAAGTTTTACCTGCTAGTTAAAACGAGAATGTGTAATAAGCAGTAGTCGGAATTAGGTAGAGTTATTCATGTACACTGATTTCGAAAGAATAAAGTGGATATGCCTCAAATCCCGAGATTAATTTTAAAGAGCTGAAAAAATCCCGTGATTTTTTTAAATAAAAAGTTATTTACTTTTACACAATTTAAACTACTGCACGCACGACGTTGCCAAACTTACATCAATGAAAGAAAGAAATAAAGAAAGAAGAAATAAAAAAAAATCCCGGGAAGGTCCACATTAATATCAACATTTCGATGCAAGTACATAGATAACTCTACCTAATTCCGACCTCTGGTAATAAGTAAAAACAAGTAGCATATGCTATTGTCCCTCACTATATCATTGTCATTGACTTGAAGTTAGAAAAAGAGCTAGTAAGAATCTTCAAAGAGAATCGAAATATATTTGTTGAAGTATATTTCATTGAAAACATAACATTTCGAGAATTAAACAATAGTAAAAACGATAGCAATACAGTCAGTTCCAATTAATATGTCGCATGGTGAATCTTCATCGCTAATTCTAAAGATACCGAGCGTATGATTAAAATTTATAGTGATTCTTGTTTCAATAACCATAAGGTGTATAATACATAGCATTAGGTGTCCGTCTCACTCACTCAGTAGGAGACAGGCGCGTGGATATTGGTGGATCATAAGATGGCGTGATATTTGAAGCTCTCTGATTGATCGACATTTAACGAGCTTTTTAAATTAGCTTTTTAATATTCATTGTTAAGTTCAAACTGTTTGTTACCAGATTTATCTCTGTATATGTCTAATAATTGACATATTATCCGAGCTAAAACAGTTTTAATTCTTATTTCAATATATGTAACACTTATCGATACTCAAATAAAATTCAGATTGTTTTAATAACGTGAAATTTAATAGCGAGCTTAACGGAATGTCAACTTACTCCTAACAACTAAAGTAATTTAAACTTAATAAACTATTTACTATATCACCTTTTAAAATGCATGCAATGAATTAATGTTTTCAAAGGTTGAATCCTTTTTGTGAAACTTAACTACTATTTCCGATTTTTTTGCATAACTACCCAAATTTGGTTTTATGATATTAGTTAACTTTTAATGACGTAATTGCAACTAAACAAATAAACTCTGTTGTACAGTCAACGGCTTTTAAACCTCAATGCATTGAGGGTAGAGATGAAAATCAATTGCGAATATTGGAGATATTGCGGTAACTGAAAGTGCTGCTACATGCACGAAGTAAAAATAAAAATTTAAAGAAATATATATGTATTTCGTGTTTACTATAACATTGTCGTCACATGTAATCTGTTATATTGATACAGCTATATAACTTAATAAGAGTCTGTGCATATCTAACGAAATATGCGTCTGTCACCATCGGCCGCGGAACGTCAAACTGACAAATATGATATAATCCGGTCGCAGAACAGAGAGAATTTCGTGCAATGACCCCGCATTACATAACTCTTTCACTCATGCGCAAACATATTGCTATCGCGCTCGCACTGATGCATCTAGCCAATTTTGTCATAGTAAAGTAAACCTAAAATTATAACGTATGAAATTCTCTGTTTCGCGATAGGACTATAGACTTCTAAGATTTCACTTGCGACGGTTAATCCGTTAATACTAACGCCTTCTTCTGTGAGGCATTTGTGGATATCTGTCAGATTTACATAAGTTTCCTGTCATCTTAGTTAATTGAAAACGGAATGGGATTGAATTAAATTTTGTTTTTGTTTGTGCAACAAAATTCCTACTAATATCTAGATATTTTTAAACGTAACTTTGAAGGTGTTATAATTTGTAATGTGTTTATAGTCATTTTTTGTGTCACCAATTTTAGAGAAGGGTCTGATGTAATGAGAGAAAGCTGGGATATGTGAAGGTAACATTTGTATAGGCATTGTTTTGTGAGATCTGTCTCCGAATAAGTAATTTATTTCTAAAGTGTCACTTAACATTAACCAAAACGCAAATTTTGCTTCGTGTTTTGTTAATAAACCAAATTTTATATGATGGTGTGTTTTATTTTATAGTAGCTATTTTTCCGCGACTTCGCCCGCGTATGATGAAGCTTCGCGCAGGTGAAAGAACTTTCATCAGTATTTCTGAAATTATCATTACAATATTATTGTAAATTTTCCTTAGCCTTGGCTGCCAATATCATAATAAGGAGGCCATCCATAAATTACGTCACACGTTAAGGGGAGGGAGGGGGTTGACGAAGTGTGACATTGTGTGACAAGGGGGTGGGAGGGTTCTAAATTTCGTGACGTCACATTTCAAAATCTGTTATAAACTAAGTGTTAAAACACGAACTTTACACTATTACTTTACAAAAACCTAGCAAAATATGTGACATCACACTAGGAGGGGGGACTCTTACAAATGTGACCAGCTGTGACTAGGACGGGGGGAGGGGCAAAAGACTCATGAAAATCGTGTAACGTAATTTATGGACGACCCCTAAGTTAAAAAACTTATTTTCGTTCGTCGTTTTCGTTTTATTTAAGCAACTTTAAATTCTCCGTCTGCGCAATTTTCGTAGAAGGATTTAAAGTTTGTACCTACTTCACTATATAACAATGATATGAAATGGTAATAAATGAAAACAACCATAACATGTTCTGCCCTGTTCTTTATTCAGTTTGATATATAAACAGAATCCGATCACGACGGCGTCTACGTTTAATGGACTACGCGTAACTTATCATTATATACTTTGGAATGACCTGCTAACACTAATATGTATGTATATAGAAAACATAACTTTACACAAAAAAAAATCTCAAATCAATAAATAAATTCTGATTTCGTTATTACAAAACTAAACCGTCTGATGCGTTTCTCTATACGTGTCTCATTTAATTTAATCCATATTTATAATGAACTTTGAATAACAGTTATTCAGGACACGTTATTAAATATAATTAATTTATTCAGACAAGTATAGAAAAATCGTATTAGGAGATGTCCTACTTCACAGCGATGAGTTAAGAATTTAACATTTTACATGTTAAAAAAAATACAAAAGAGTTTATGGAGATTTTTTAACTAAGATTATTATTTATCTAAAATTATAATTATTGTCAGCACTGTCAAATCCAACATCCCCTTTAAGACGAGAGTAGGTATAACATAAAAGTAACGCTAGATATTCCTTGAGATCTAAGCTTATAATAAAACTTTGGATAAAAATTAAATATTTATATGGACAATTCATTTGTTTTTGTACATTTTTACAACACAAACATTATTTATATTATTACCTGATAGTTATCTAATCACTGAGAATGTCATAAGAAAACAAATGCAAAAGTTAAGTATTTGTGACAATACGCACTAAACTTAAAAAATATATACAACTCAATTATACATAATTTAGACTAACAAAATAATACTTTCAATTAATTTCAAAGTGTACAAGAGAAATTATTAGATTATTATTGTTTCATGGAAGAATCATTTCTTATATTATTATAGTTATAAGTGGTTCAGTATAAAAAACTGTTTTACACCAAAAATACAAAATTTGTATGAAAATAATTACCACTTAATTTTTATGTGCATATCCAAGGAATGTGCTGTTTTTTTATAATAATAAGACTGCAGCTTCACTTTTAATTACACGAACAATTAGACGAATCTATTATATTGGCAATAATATCACAAATCAATATTATTCAACCAGTATCCACCGTCTATGTAGTGGCAATATCAAACTATGACATGTAGGTAAAATTTTTGTTACAAAAAGAAAAACAAAATGATTGACATAAAATTATTACAGAGAATAATAAGATATAATGATAGTATATCGACGCTTAAATAACAATATTGCAAAGTCGAAGTAAAAGTTGAATGTTTGAAGGAAACATGAAACTTCAGTAGCTAGGGTTGCCATCTTCTAAATTAAAAAAAAGTCTGACTGCGCTGTGTAAGGCCAGACAAAAGCTGGGATTTAACCTTCTTCGATAGCTTGGGATTTCACATCTTTAATTTTTAATTCTATAACCATAACTTTTATAAGCATAAATAAACTGTGACGTGAATTATAGTCTTTTATTATCATCACATATTAAGCAGTTTAATAATAACAATTATTAATTGGACAAAATTTTATCTTCACGTATTTCACTAATGATCGGACACATTAATATTTAGAAAGTTGGACAGATGGCCACCCTAGTTTCAACGTTTACTAATTTTAAACATAATCCACACGGTCGAAGCCAGTGGCAGAAATCCGCTATAATTACATAATGTTCGAAAATAATTGTAATTTATTTATGGATTCAATGAAATTAAAAAAATATATAAATTTATGAGTGGTAATTTTTATTCGTAAATGAAAAATGTCAAATTTAAGCAACACGATATTGCTATTTAAGCGACAAATTATAAGATGTTCTCGGACGTTATTGTTTTTTTGATTCCGCACTGAATAATGCTTATTTCATTAAGAATTATAGGTACATCTATGTTATATTTTTCATCGTAGCAACATGATAATATTAAAATCTGAAGCGCAACAATGCCGATGATATGTGAATAGATATATAACACTAAAGCAACAATAACACAATTATTATGTTACCAAGTTAATTGATACAGTTAGTAAATCATTCATTACTTTCATTTATGATTATATAACAGCTTGCGTTATTGAATATATGAATTAACGAGTACCGAACGCTTCTCTAATACATTAGCTTTGTGAAGAAATCTGATAAAAGATTCATAAATAAACAATCACTTATTTAATGTTAAATATATTTCAGTTAATTCAGACCCATGTATGTCTGAATATTATATTAAAAAACAATTAAAAAAGCATTCTTACTGTTATTAAATATAATTAAAAAAAATTATATGATACATTTTTAGTTTAGTTTTATTACGCGCACGTACCTCCTGAAAAACTAATGTTTGTCCCAGAAATCAGCAAATGCTACATAAGATTGTATTAACTCTGATGTATGTATTCAAATCATTGCTTTTAAGTCTCATAGAATTAATTATCAACTTATCGTTTCAATTAAATTATGGTAAGATATTTTAGTCGATGAAATAATAAATTAATGTTAATAATTATCTAAGAAGCGTTCATATTCGGTTCGTTAAAACACAAACATAATTCTCTAACTCATTACAAACATTTAAGCTCAGCGCTTATTACAATGAAACACTATTCGCTACTTTCAATATTGAGCATTACACGTTTTTGTCTTTTCGAAATCCGCATACGACTACGTTCCGGGAGCAAACTAAAGGCGTCACAAAAGTCAAACATAAAAAAATAAATATCGTCATACTTTCAATCGCTACTTTCGAAGCCGGGTAAGTGCAGAACTCACTCGAGGAGCCGAAGCCGTCACCCTACGAGGGGGGGAAATGGAAAATTAAAAACACTGCCACTACAAGCGAGCTAATCTAACCTGGCAAACTTCATCCTTGATCGCCGGCACTCATGTTCCGATCTAGTGACACTTTTTTAGTGACAGAATACAGTGGAGAATCTAGTTTGCCCGATATCGCTTGGACTCTACTTTTGACGGATTCCATCGGGGCAGAGTCGATTTTGGTTTCATCCACGCTCGACGAATGCTGGAAGGCCACTTCCGCGTTTCCATACAAGTGTTGAGGCTCTATATTACTGTAGAGGTTGTAATTGTGAATCAGAGTGGAAACTCGATTCGACGACACCGGCAGACTCGAATGCTCTTTAGAGGGATCCGCGGTCAATCGAGCGGTGCCGACTTGTGTACAAGGTTGATCGATTTTGAAGTCCGCTCTAGGGGGCTCTTCTTCTTTGAGGGAGCAATGATCGTTCGGGTTTTGAGGGGAGTAGGATTGGTTTCGGTTGGCGAAGATCTTGTTTTGTGACGTGAGCGTTTGGTTCTGCGGGAGGATGGGCTGGGGAGTGTGGGGCGGAGGGGGCTGGGAAGTGTGGGGTGGAGGGGGCTGGGGAGTGTGGAGCGGAAGGGGTTGGGGAGTGTGGAGCGGAGGGGGCTCGGGGGTGGGGGGGCGGAGGGCGGCGCGCCAGTCGATGTTCGGATGCCGCTGCCTGATGCACTCCACCACGTCTAGAAGGTTCTTCGCATCCATCGCCAACACGTGCGCAGCTGATAGCATACTCCTGGATGTAGACCATAAAATTTATGTATAAAGTACGTGTTTTTAACTGACTTCAAAAAAGGAGGTTATCAATTATAGGTGTATGTAAGTAATTTCGTTGGAATGGCGTAATATTCATATATGTTGATCTGTATGGCCTTCTAAGCACTAATATTATTGGTGTATGTATATTTATCCACGTATTTTTCGCAAACTAGATATGATTGCATAGGATTGCAATGATTATTTTATTAAATTGCTAAGCCTTTTAAAGGGGTAAAAATTGAACAGACTTATAATAAAAGTATGATAGTTATCTTGATAAATATACCTGGATAGTTATAAAACACTACACAACTCTTTTTGTACTTTAGATCTTGTTATTAAAGGGGAATAATTTTAAACAACTATCAAATATGGTTTTTCTGACAGATAAAATTGTCTAGGATGCACCTCAAAAAGCAAAAAAATATTAAAAGCTCCCTTTTTATTAGAAAAATATATTTATTTTTGTTCAATGTCATGTCATAGGTAATTTATTTATTTAATTTCTGTAATTTTAAAAAAAAAAAGCTTCTGCATTTTAAAAATTGTTGCCTACTACGAATAATTATCAAAAAAAAAATGATCTTGATAATTACGAACCCTGAAAAAAGGAGTAAAAATTGATGACTTTCTTTTTAACTTCAAAAAGGTGGCTTATTTCATCTCAAAATCTACTTCAAAAAAAGAGGTTATCGATTAGACCTGTATGTTTTTAACCATCCTTAAAAAAATGAGGTTATCACTTTGGTCTGTATGTATGTAATATTGTTGGAATATGGCGCAATATTTATATGTATATTTATGACATTGAATATGTCTTACTTGGTGTATTCATGATGCAACGTGGTGTCTGCGTACTGTATAGCGAGCCTCATGGCCTCCACTAAGGCCGCCATGTCTTTACTCAACACCTGATGAGCCATCTCCACCTCCCTGTTGTGATGAAAAGTTAATTTATAATAGTTGTATGGTCCAATGGTTAGCGTGTTTGGTCTGAAAATACAGAAGTTGGAACCCTTTCCCAAAGGTCGTTTAGGTGAGAATGAATATCATTTTCTTGGAGAATTGCAGTCTAGAATTATATGATCTTAGCTTATACTTCGCATTAGATTAGACTATTGTAAATTAAGATTTTAGTTGCAGCACAAAGGAAATCTTTGGTATTCCTTATAACAAATCCTAATGCCCTAGATGCTTATGACTATGTTGTCTAGTTGATGTAAAAAGGTTACTTTTTTATTGAACAAAACATCCAGATTTTTAATTGTGTCAACCTCTTGTTTTATGTTTTCATTTATATGATAGTTACCATTTAATGGGTTGTATTTTCGTGTAAATTTTATGTTTTTTTTTTGTTTAAATACATTTTGTTCATGCAACACCATTCAATAGTCATCCAAATCCACTTGCAGAAGTTTTATACCATCCATAAAATATAGACATTAAATAAAATAGGCTCTAAATGTGACTCCTGAGGAACACTTCAAGTGATAACACGACTACTAGATTGAGAACCGTTCACTTCAGCCTTTAAAGAACGACTGTTCAAGTAAGAATTGTACCATTAGAGCAGAGAGTCGTGATACTGTGTGTGTTGTACTGTTGATTCGGTGTACCTCATGGCCTGAGGCGGGTAGTGCACCACGAGCAGGTCCACGGTGGCGCAGAGCGCGCGCAGGTGCGTGCCGATGGCGCGCACGCAGTTGAGGGTGGGCGCGGGCGCGGGCGCGGGGCAGGGGGAGGGGGAGGGGGCCTGCTGCAGCGACACCAGCTGCATCACGCCGCGGACCACTGCCGTCGTCGCCGCGTACACCGGGTCCGAGTTCTGACGTTACAAAACAAATATTAACCAAAACAAAAAAATCTCAAACTTCTTTTCGCCTAGCGTAAACAATAATATAAAAGTTTTATCTACATTCTTCGCGGATCGAGAGAGCTATTTTATCGAGTGACGGGGTAAATGACATTTGCACGTAGACAACACTTTTCTTAGCATCGTCATGCATGCCGGCACTACGTTTCTACTATACCTAGTCTAGCCATAAGTTCTATTACAAAGAAAATAACCGATAATTTCTAAAAAAGAATAATTTTATTTAAAAGTTTTATATGTGATTATGTAGAGTGAAAAAGATATGTTATCGTACGAAACTATACTCCATTCATTATAACATTAGAAAAAAGAGAACCACAGAAGCAGCAGTGCAGAACATTTTATTTGTAAGATAAATTTAGAAAATATATATAATAGTTTTGTTGAGACTTTGAACGTTAGGTAGTCTGAAAAAGTTGGGCAATTTTCCATTTTCTCGGGGTTGAGATAAGGCTAGCATTTTCTAAATTCCTCTTTTACTGGGAGCCAACATGGAACTAAAACTATCTATTCGTTGTTTTGATAAATTCTTATTGGAATTTAGTTATAGGAACAAGGAAAGAAAAGTAAACAAAACGAAATTTTTATTATTAATTTTATAACATTCATTAAACTATTGATTAAGACATTGGAGAAACTTCTTGAAATGTCAAAGATAATTGTTGTTTACTCGGGCCTGCACCAGAATCGTATATATTTTGCAAAACTTAGCAACTATAAGAAAACAACAATAACAATCCCAAATTACGTATTTTGACAATTATAAATACATTATGATGTCAAAATTAAAAAGCTGTACTGCCGAAATGTTTGAAAGGATTAGGCAACGTTTAAATTTGGTAGAGTTATAGTGACATGAGAATCCTGCCGAAACAATCCAACCCTCTTCTTCTTTAGGTTCTTTAAGATGATCAATTTTTATTGTAATAGTTTTTAAATATTTTAAAAACTACTCATAAATTTGTTGATTGGTAACTTAAAAGATAACGGTTGAGTATAGCCGCTGGTATTTAAGTGGATATGTAACAAATTAGCCGTTAGTTTTAAGAATAACATGATTGTTGATATTTTGTCACAAAGTTTAACATAAAAAGAACCTTATTTAACTACCGTCTAATGCTATAATTAATGAAGTATAATTATTCAAAATGTCCACCCTTAGTTTTAACGTACGATTGTAAACGGTCGGGTCATTCGTTGGAACTTGGTTACTGCTGCCTCCAAAGATTTCTCGAGCGACTCAATATTTGAGTTACGCTTAGAGCAGGCCATGTCCTCTAGCACAGACCACAATTTATAGTCCAAAGGGTTTAAGTCCGGATTAGCTCAAGGCCAATCATCAGCCTTTTTGAAATCTAGAACAATTTGCTCAAGCCAAATTTGGGTAGTGCGTGCCTTATGACCCGGGACTGAATCCTGTTGGAATGTCCACAATTCGTTTCTGAATAAGGTGTTATCGAGAGGTTTAATTACCGCTTCTAACACGGTATCTTGATACACTGGCTGAAGTTTTCACTCCTTTTTCGCAAAAATGAAGTTTTGTAACCCCTTGGAGACACCCCACCAAACCATGACGTATGCTGGATGATGGCCTCGCTGAACTTTGGCCACTACCTCGGAAGCTTCATTAGAGCTGTGTGCATACACTCGATCATTTTGTTTGATGTAGTGCTCTTCGATTGTAAATTTTTTTTCATCGCTAAAGAGAATTTTTCTGTTTTTCGCCCGCGTATCGAAGTAACAGCTCTTTTGATCTTTCGACTCTCTTGTTTTTGTGCCTGATTTAAAGTATGTCTTGTGTATCTCCGGTAAGCCCCCAGACCTAAGACTTGTTTGATAATACTAGAAAGTGTCCTCGGTGAGATTTTCTGCTTCCTTATGGGATTTCGACGAATTCTGTCCTTGATTGCATTAACGACCTAGTTTGTTCGAATAGACCGCAGTCGGCCGGATCTCTTACGGTTATCAACAGACATGGTTTCATGTACCTTTGGATGGTACGATACACAAACATTCAGCTAATCCCAAGCTTTTTCAATGTATCAAAAATGTCGGCTGGCTCCTTACTTACTTTGTACATTGCAATTACTGCAATCCTATTCTCTTTAGTGCCCCACTCCATTTTCAAAACAAATAAATTCTAAACAAAAAACATACAATAATGGCGGGAAAGAAGTCTATTTTTTTTAGCTTCGAAATTCAATTTTTTTTTTTAAATGTATGTAAACAGCCAGTAACAGAATTTATGGCTAAACTAGGTAGTCTTAAAAATGTAAAAATTCAATGAAAAAGGCCACGAAGAAGAAAACTGGTTATGAATAGGTAAAAACCCTAAAAAAATACATTGACTTTGACAAAAACCAAATGATGAAGATTCATTATCAAAATAGAAATAAATGAATTATTTGGCAGACATTTAACTATGCATTCAATTCGAAAATATTTATCAGGTAGTACATACTTAGCTTGCCAAATTAGCGATTTTACGAAATGAAAGTAGATCAATTTTTACTCATAAAATTTAGTGATAATAATTTAAAAGCATAATTTTTTAGTATTTTATTGATTAATTTAAATCCACAATTATCTAAACAAATACAATAGATGAAAATCGATTTGCCAACGTCGGCCGTACAGCGGGCTCGACTTGTGCTGTGACGGGTTCGAAGATTGGGCGAATTAATGAAAGGCGGAATTGGTTCATTTTATGGTAAATAAATAAAGGGTAAAGTAAAAACGGTAACAGAAAACGAATATAAAAACAGTGCGTAAGTTACCTAAATATAAAATTACAATTGCTAAATACCCCTTTTTGGGTTTTTTGTAATATGTAAACTTGGACGATATTTCAAGATATAATTTTATTTTAAATAATATATCATTTCTATTTATTCTATTTTAATAATTTTATTATTATAATATTTTATATTTGAATTTATACGATTTACAATAACATGTTCACACCAAATTTTTTACGAAGTGCCATTCATAAAGAGTATATTGGATTAGTCAAAATTTCAAATTATGAAAGGTGAATAATAAAAAGAAATAATATGATAATGGATATCAAAGACATAAAGTTTGCATGCTGAAACCTGGGACGAAATAAACGGTGGTACGGCACACCGTTACAGTGCTATATGATCACAATTCTAACTTAACCTAAACCAAGCTATTCCTGTTCAATTGACCTACTGTTAAATTAAAAACATAAAATAAGTTGTTACCCTAAAATTGAATTGATCTTTCAATAATTTGTAATTCTTGTTATTTACAGAAAGAATAATTTGTATTATGACAATGTCAAACAAATTATATTTACCATAGGTTATTTTTAAATTGAAAATTTGTGATTAATATTCCTGTCAACCTATTTTCGCTCTTTTTGTAATATCTAGAATGTACTCTACAAGTGAAATAGGTTGTGTCCTACAAGTGAAAATACAGGTTTTGTTGTATGTTTGGAAACGATGAACCATTTTAACTTCTAAATAAATTTTATGACACTAATTTGGAAAATATTACGCTTTGAAAACTTGAAAAAAGTAGGAAATATAAATCACAAACATTTGCTAAAATAAACATGGCATTAAATTAGTTGCATAAAACACAAATAACAAAGATATTACAAATATTGCCTAGACGCTTATACGTTTTTGGGTGCCGTATTACCATATGACGTCACTTGGTGCTTTGAATTAGTAGGGAGCGTTTTCAGCCGACTAGCAGCAGTGCCACTAACATAGCTCGTATCTCCGAAACTATTAATAGCACACATGCCGTTACTACTACATTATTTCTCAAATATGAATGGACTGTTTATTTATAATATAAGAAAAAGTTGTTAACTAGCCTATAATATTAATATGTATAATTGTATACATTCATTGTCTTACCTTATCGTCACAAGGTTGATTCTCTTTGGACTTCACTGTATTTGCTGGACTAGTTTCCGTTGAGTTCGTTGCTGTTTAAAAACAATTTCAAATATATAAATATAAATAGTAAAAATGAGACGTTTGGTCAAACTAGACTTACCAAAACAGTAATAACAGAATGTACTATAATCAATCTTAACCTAAAACTTATAATCAATCTTGTTTTAATAACTAC